TTTATGTTCCATTAGTCTGAAGCAATAGCTGATGAAAATAGGTGTTTGTGTGATGTGTTGAAGTTAATGGCTTCTGCTGTTCCGATCCCTTCTTCTATGTTTTGCGACAACCACTTTTGTGAAAGCTGTCATAATTTTCTTAGCTTCAAAGCATCATTTGAAGTAGAACTTGTAAAACATGAAAGTCTACAAAAGCAAGTTTCATCATTGGGGAAAAAAAATCATAGCAAATTTTACCATGAAGCTTGGATTCTTCTCAAGGAGAATACAGGATTTTTAAAGGAAGAATAGCTGGAATGTTTTATTGAGAAAGTGATGAGTAGAAGAGAAACTAGATTTGGCTTCTGATCTAGTTGTGAGATGAGACCAGGCTTTCTTTAAAACTTTTGAGTCTAAATGAGCAATTCCAGGCCAAAAGCTCACTTTGAGAAAATGCTAGGTAACTGAAAAACCTTTTAGGTTAGGAAGAAACATCAACTATATTAGAGTTTTTTAATTTTTAACTAAAAATATTATTAAATTAGAAGTAGATACACAAGTTTACAATAAATGTCATTAGATGACAGCACTTTTCAGTTATTCTTTGCCTTCTTTTAGTCATATCTAGCATGGACAATAGAAATTTAAAAATTGTTTGTTTAGTCTCTAAAATGACATCTGCTCTTTTATTACCTATAAAAACTGAAGATGCTTACATCATAGAGGTGAGAAAAATAAAGCACAAACAGGTTATGCATATATTGCAAATAATAATGGAATGCAGAAGCACATAAGAACTTCCTTTAATTTCATAATGAGAGTTGTTGTCTTACATCAAGGTGATTAATTATTGAAGAGAATATAGAAAACAAAGTCTTCAAAACTCACAAGCCTGTTCATGTTGATATTTAATGGTCTATGGCTACTCCCTTTTCCTTTTTAAATTCTTAGCTAGGACAAAATTAGGGAGTGGTCACTACTGTCACAGAGGTGTTTGCAAGTGGGGAGGAAACCTGCCTTTTCATAAGATGCAAGCTTGAGAGGCATGTTCCTTATCTTTACTTCCCAACTTTTCCCCCTATTACAGCTGTAGTCTTCATTTAAACTACCTGTTTCCCCCCATAGGCTTTCTATTTCCTGTGATAACATATGCTATAAGTAATTTCTATCTTGTATATAAATATACCAAAATTATATTATTTAAATTGGATAATATTATTTAAGCCTGCTCTAGTGGCAGATGGTTAGACTGAGATATAATGCCTAAACAGCCATTTGGGACGGGGACCATATATATTTCATCCCTGTTGTTCATCTCTGTTTTCCTCTGGAGATTATCTGTCCTGCCCTGAAAGGATGACAAGCATAAATTTAATTAATGACCAGTAGATTACAATAGTTCTTTAGCTAGGCTGCACTTGAGAACTGGTAGTTCTTCTAAGCTGTAGGTGCTGCCAGTATTTACACTCACAAAATGGCTATCTCTTTTTAATGTGTTTGCTGAAAGTGTGCCAGGTCCATGGCCAGAAGTGGCCCTCTATCTTGTAGTTTGTCATAGTTACTTCTTTGATGCTAAAGAGTGACCATAATTACCTTTGGAAAGGTTGTGATCAGTATTTTCTTTCATACTGTTGTTTTTTGATTACTTTTAACATTTTTATTAACATTTCTTTTTAATATTCTTATTTTTCACTTTTTTGATGGGGAAATAGAATCAAGTGGAATGAAGGGGCTGGATGGGAAGAGATTGGTTTTCCCACAGGGAACATTGGAGCAGCTTCAGGCCAGTGGAGTGGCTCTCAGAGGCTGCAGGGTGTGTACATCAGGCAAACCCAGCCTGTCCCGCAAGCTTCGACAGGAACATCACAAGCCTGAAGCGAGAAGCGGAGCAGCAGCCAGCTAGATCTGAGGCACCAAAGGGACTCCTAAAGTTTGCTGCCACTCAGAAAGTCATTGACCTAATAGAAACACAGGTGGGAGCTGTCTTCAAGGAGGCAGTGCAGACTCTATCCTTTGAATACCATTCTGGATTCTCCTTCTGAGAAGTCAGCTTTTCCCAAAATTAGGTCCTGACTTTTGCGTGTCCAAAGAGTAACAAAGATCTCTGTGACTGAAGCTTGTTCTTGAACTTTCTCACTTGGAATTTGTCACCTTGAACCTCAGTTGTCTCAGGCTGGCATAGCTGTGGAGAGGTTTGGCTGTGGTAGTCTGGTCCAACAGCTTCACAAGGGAACAAGCTTTTTAGTTTAAGGTTTGTCCTTCTAGCTATTCAACTTTATTAAGAAAGCATGTGGGATGTTTCACTTGTCAAAGACAGTTCCCCACTGGCACCTGGATTCTGCCTTCACTTTTAGATTGGATGTTGCCTTTATAACAATGAGAGCCTCATTCCTTGTCATAGTTTAACCGTGACCATCAACTAGCCCCACACGGCTGCTTGCTTGCTCTAGCTCAGTGGGGTGGTGAGAGGAGAATAGGAAGAGTAAAACTGAGAAAATTCATGAGACAGGCAGTAAAATAGGCAAAGCAAAAGCTGTGCACATGAAGCAAAGAAAAACAGAGTTCATTCACCGATTCCCATGGGCAGGCAGGTGTTCAGCTAACTCCAAGAGCACAGGTTAACAGTGACTTAGAAAGGCAAACACATCCATGACTGAACATTACCCACTTGCCCCAGCTCTATTGCTGAGCACAGTGCTCTATGGTATCGAGTGTCTTTGTTGGGCAGTTGGGGTCAGCTTTCCCACCTGTATCTCTTTACAACTTCTTGTGAACCCCCAGTCTCCTCACTAGTGGAGTGGGGTGAGAAGCAGAAAAGGCCTTGGCTCTTTGTCAGCACTGCTTAGCAATAGCTAAAATATCCCTGAGATTGTCTGCAGGACAACTCCAAAACAGAGCCCATACCTGCTAATAGGAAGAATATTAATCCAGCCAAAGCAAGCACATACATCCTCCATTATTTCATGTCTTCAGAGCCAGAAAGTTAACATTTTATGTGTGTATGTCCCTTATCTAGGCTGCAGAATGCAAAGTCCAAACATGAACATGTAGCTGTATATTTTTTTTTACTGTACTGCAAGACACTTAGGAACATATTCTAGGAGTTTGACTATCTGGCTAGATGTGTAGGTGTTACCTACCTTTGGGCTAGCATGAAGGCAGGTCAAGCAACATTAGGGAAATGTTTCTATCCTTTTTCTATTTCTGGGGCTCCTTTCACACTTCTTTAAGCATGCCACTGTTCCTGCAGCCTTAAGGAAAGTTGTTGATCTGTTCTTGCTCACACAGTTGCTAAAGCCAAGGCTTCTTGGATTTTCTCTGTGTTGCTATATGAGTACCTTTAATGCAAACGATGATTCATGGATGACATACTTGGGATTGTGAATAATGAAAAGATGCTTCCCTTTTTTGTTACTTGTAAATACTTGCCCTAGGGAACAAAGATACAATTATATTATGCAATCATAAATCTTTTTAGCTTGCACTATATGTGAATGATGTTTTGGCAGACAAAACTTGAAATGAAAAAAATGTTACTTTGAGGCTTACTCTCCTAGAACTCATATCTAATAAGAAAGTTGCTCACATTACTCAGTGATACTGTGTCAATTCAGTGTCAAGTTGCCTTATCTCTACCAAGGAGCAGAAAAAGAACTTTTTATCTGTGTTGGTTTGTATCCAGCTTCACAAATAAATTTGATGTTTCTGAGTTCTGTGTAAATGGAAACCATGAATTTCACCAGTGTGTAATTCACTGGTGTGTGTGTGTGTGTATATATATATATGTCTACAGTTCAGAATTTATTTGGAAACCTGTATAAGTATTTCCTGTGGGAGACATGGTACATACAATGCTCCACAGAATAGAGCATTACAACATATCTAGTAAAAGTATTATTCACTCACCACTTGTCCACATTATACCTTATCTGTTGCCTTTCAAAGAGTTTTGGAAATACATAAGAAGTAGATTCAAATACCTTATTAATGTCTTATAAGTGTTTTTCAAGAAATGATCAAGTATTTAGGAGGTACCTATTTATTTTTACTTGTGAAAATCATCCAGCTAAGGGACAAGGCAAGTGGATTTGCAGAATTAGGTCCTGAACAGTCCCTTAAAAACCTTTCATTTGCAATTGAGCTATAGAGTGCAATTTTAGACCAAATTTAAGCTCTGTAAAATCAAGATTAATACTTTAGGCATTAGAACTTCAGGTTGAAATATTCAGGGAAATACAAGGTTATGAGCACATTTGGTTTTGTTCAGTTTTGCCTATACTAGTAAGGTGTCTTCTTGACTGATAAATATGAAAAATATTAATTATTAATACTTCGGTACTGCATGATCAGGCTTAAATTTTTAATTAAGATATAGGATATGTAGTCTGTTGTTGTAGTGTGACAGGTGTGTAAAAATTCTCAGGTTTGGGAGAGAAAGCTATGTTTTTATTAGTGTAAAAAAAACTCCAGGTCTTTTCCAGACTTCAGACAGCTGTGATCTCAGAATAAAATTGCCTTGATCTTAGCAATGAAAGGATGTTTGAGCTCCCAGGCACTTGGAAAATACACTTTTTAAAGTCATCTATACCAAAGAAAAACTTGTAATATGTTAATGATAACTTACCAATACCCCAGCACAACCCTGGTTGCCAGCTTCATTGTGATTGAAGAGCGTTTATTTACTTCAGAATGAAATAGTCCAGGATGCAAGAAAGCCTGGATGAAGCATGAAGCATGCATGTAATCTGCTAAGAATAAGATGTGTAATAAAAATATGCTGACAAAGCAAACTTAAATATGTGGATTTTATGCATCCAGTAAGAAAAGCAATTATGAAAGATGGATATACTTTTTCAAGAGGAAGGAGTACTTCCGAAGAGTTTTTTACTGTTGAGTAGAAATTGTGGTGGTAGTTTTATCTCCTTTTTGTATTATTTTCTTTCTTAGCCCTGAAACTGTTTGCTGTTGGCAGAATAGCTGCAATTAATTATGTTTTTAATTATGGGCTGATTTATTTTCAGATCTCAATAGAGAATGACTACCTAGGCCCCAGAAGAATTGAGAGTCTGCAAAAAGAAGATGCTGATTGGCAGAAAAAAGCTCACATGGCTGTGCTTTCTATTCAAGATCTTACAGTTAAATATTTTGAAATAACAGCTAAAACACAAAAAGGTAGTTATTTCCTGTCATCCTATCCATCACATGAAAAATTAAATTATTTAATGTTTACCATGTTCTGTGTTGTACTATGAGTTATTTTTTTCATCAATCCTTCATGAGGAAAATGCAGTTGTAATTCCTATTTGTTTTTTCTTCTGTGTCTATTTGAATCTCTCACCTGTAAACCATTTCAAAACATCATTAGAGGTGATCAGAATAGAAATTTTAGGTAGAAGTTTTACAGCTACTTTCTCAATGTAATTTTACTGGTAGTATTCTGTATTTGCAAAGGATTTAGGAAGGATAGAGTCCCTGGTGGATTCTGTTTTCTGTACTGGATATGGCAGACCTCCATAGTAAGTGTTAATTGTCTTTCACTTACTTTCCTTTTCTAGTCTTCCTTGCCTTTCAGTAATTTTTTTCATAGCTCTAAACATTAAGCAACAGCTCAGTTTAACTACTAAGTTAAAGCTGCTCTGTTGTTCAGAAGCCTTCATGGATATAACCTTGTCTTTTCTGTGTTTGGAGAATGTGATGGTTTTAGTAAAAAGTGGTGCAGTAAAGTGAGGTCAAGTGACTTGGTATGTACACCTGTGGTCTCATCCTGGTACCATTTTAACTGAAATAACCAGTTTAATAGGGCAAACAGACATTTTTCTAGTTCACTGAAAAAGTTTGCCCCGGTGTCCTCCCATGCCTGAGTGCAGATCCCTGTTTCTTTCTTTGCCTTGGTGATAGATCCTGTGCAAGATTCAGAGGAGAAATTCCTTTTTTGACTGGTAGGTTTCTTGTCATCTCCGTACATGACTGCTAAACCTGACTCAAGAGATGCAGGCGCCACAAATTTCCTCTATTCAGTGACAACCCAAGTTAAAGATAATGTGAAGTTTCACATTTTTCAGACTAGGTGATTTAATAGGTTAAAGCATGTTGGAATAAATTTAATCAGAGCACATTCTAAATGTACTAAACAGCTTTGCTTCTTTTCCAGTATGACAAAGGTAGCCAATAAGATACACCACTAATTGATAATGGGTATTTATAGATACTTATTTGTTTTCATGTTCACATGATTTTTTATGTACAGCAGTCAGGATCTGGAGAAAAACCAATGGAAGGTAATACACCTGAAGGCTGATTACAGCCATGGACCTTTAATATACAGGTTATTTACCTGTTTTTTGTGGTTGGGGTTTTTCTTGAACCCTCCTGATCACAGGATAGCCTTAAATACCCAAATGTTAGCCGATGGCAGAGGAAGAATACATGAGAGCATAAATGTGTTTCTTATTAGCTAAGAACAGTACGTAATAGCCTGTGGTGACTGAATGCCACTCCTTTGATTCCATTACTTTCGTGGCTTTTGCTTTGTAAAGCTAAGTACAGTATCACGTGATGTATATATTAACAATGGTGAAAATCTTGTGTGTCCACCTAGATGTTATATGGGGCCCAAGAATAGTAAATCAGAATCAGGCTAGGAACTTCTGCATTTTGAGGTAAAACATAGATGTTTTTTCAATTTCATAGTGTTCTTACAGAATTGCACTCGGAAGTTAAGCTGAAATCACTGTTTTAAATTTTAATTTTTTTTCACTCTTCAGATTTATTTAAATTTATGACTGTACTATAAATGTTATTAAGGTAAGCTGGAGACTTTATTAGCTGATAATTGGTGGTTACAGAAGTGGGGAAAATTTGGGATGCAGTTCAAGACCAAATGGTTGTATGAATGAGATTTTTATTAAGTACAAATGTGTGCATTTTCTTTGCAGCAGGATCACTAGTGGTCTGAAGAACAGACTAGTAAGATGCCTGTCTTTTTTTTCCTTTCTGTAGCTGTGTATGATCGAATGCGAGCAGACCAGAAAAAATTTGGTAAGGCAGCATGGGCAGCAGCAGTGGAACGTATGGAAAAGCTTCAGTATGCAGTTTCTAAGGAGACTTTGCAGTTGATGCGTGCTAAAGAAATCTGTTTGGAGCAGAAGAAACATGCGCTGAAAGAGGAGGTAAGTTTTCATGCCAGTAAGTAGAAAATTTAAAAAAAATATAGAAAGAAACAATGTGAGACAAAATGATGTTGCAATGTAGGTGTGGTGAGTTTTGTGCCACTTAGTTATGTTTTCTGTTCACCTTTTCCTGGTTAGTCAACCAGAAAGACATTTTTTACTGTTAATGTTTACAGCTGTCTACTGGGATGAGTAAAATGAAGAGAAAGGATGAGACAGAAATTGGCTGCCATGTAATCTCTGCAGTTTAGCTCTCAGAGGCATGACCACCTTTTCAGAATAGCTCTCACATTCCAGATGGAAAGTGTCTGACCATTAGTAAATATATGGATAGCTGGATGGTTGTGTTGCACTCTTTCTCTGCTTACCTTAATTACTGAGGCAATCTTCCAGAGGGGGCTGTGCTAGCTACAGTTTTCCTGAAGAATGAGTTCATGCATGAAACTGTGTTTAAATGCTTTAGCAGGAAAAAATCCACATTTATTGGGTTTTATGACATCTCTTTAAAAGTAACAGTACTACGAATTCTCTGTTAAACTTTGCTATCATATGGATGTTTGGTGCAAATAACATTTCGTCATACTAATGTTAATGTGTGTGCTAGCAATTAGATGACTGTTTTAAGATAACTTTGCAAATGTTTCAGCAAAATTTGACTAAACTCATGGTGCTGTTACAAATGGTTATCTATGGTTATCCAGAGAGCTCATGACTTTAGCACTGCAAGAGCTGGTAGGTTTGTAAGGCTGATAGACTATGTGTCTATTTTAGGACCCTCCATAGAAGACAGCTTGATCTGCAGGGAAGAGAGAGTACATGCAGGACCCAGAGCACAAAAATAGGTTTACTGCATTTCAGTGCTCTTTAGATTTGGAAATCCCGGAGTCGTCTGAAAACCTGAGTTTATTAGGCTGTTGTCATCCTTAGCCAGGAATTGACGAGACAGTCCAGCAGTACTAATTGAAAATATATTGAATATTTTCACTTAGAGCAACTGTGCATCTTCTTTTCATGACACATTTTTCTCCGTGTCGAGACCTGTGAATTTTTGTTGAACGAGATCTCAGTCTGGTAAATGAGTGAGTATTTGGTCTGATATGCTAGTCTTAGGGGCTGTACAGGAAAAGGAAAGATTAATTGCAGTGTGCATCAGGATGAAACTATTGAGCTGTGAGTTTGGGGCTTCTGGGGACAGAGAAATAAGGAACATCTAATGGGCACAGTGGTTTGGGATGGTGTATTACATGGGTAATACAAGCTCTGGGTCTGAATATAGAGATAGGGTAATATCAGCACCAACCAGCTTCTCCTCTGGTACACATTGTGTCTTCTGAGAACGTAAAAGGCTCAAGCATACAGAGCTGAATGTGAAAAACATGACTGGGAATCCCATCTTGGCGAAGAATGGTGGCAGTCTCATAAAGAAAATATTTGTAGAACTGAAATGCCTCCTGGCAAACCATTTAGCTACTATATTCTAGAAGATGAAAACAGGATATTTGTTTGAAGAGACTAAAATGCTCAAGAAATAAATATATCTGGATTTTAGTTGAGAAAAAAATGACAGTTCAGAATAAAGACATATGACTTTTTTTTGAGGACAGTGTTGGTGTCCGGCAGGTTGTCTATGGAGTTTTGAAATTTAGTCTTGGAAGTTTTTTGCAAGGGCATATTGTGGTAGAAGGGAAAATGGCTTTAAACTGAAGGTGGATGGGTTTAAATTACATATTAGGAAGAAATTCTTTACTTTGAGGGAGCAACACTGGAACAGGTTGCCTAGAGAAGTTGTGGATCAACCTCCCAAGAAGTGTTCAAGACCAGGTTGGATGGAACCTGGAGCAAAGCTTGGGACTTGAGATTTCAAGTCCCTTCCAACCCCAACCACTCTATGATTCATTGAATGACACCCCTCTTTAATTTATATGACTGCAATAACAAAGACTGTAGAGATTAAATTACTTGTTTGCATTAATGCAGAAAGTTGTTGCATTATAGGAAATTGAACTTGGATCTCCACAGTTTAAATATTTTGTTCCACCACTGTGGTGTTTTAACCCCATCCAGCAACCAAGACCCAAGTGGCTGCTCACTTGCTCCCTCACAAGTGGTATCAGAAGGGTTAAAAGCTAGAAAACTCATGGGTTGAGATAAAGGCAGTTTAATAGGGAAAGCAAAAGCCACACACATGAGCAAAGCAAAACAAGAAGTTGATTCATGACTCCCTGTGGGCAGACAGGTGTTCAACCATCTCCAGGAGTTTGGGGCTCCATCATAGGTAACTGTGACTTGGGAGGACAAAACTCCACTACTCCAAATCTCCTTCCCTTCCTCTTTTGTCCCCCCACTTTATATACTGGCCATGATGTCGCATGGTCTGGAATATCCCTTTGGTCAGCTGGGGTCACCTGTTCTGGTTGTGTCGCTTCCCAACCTCCCATGCACTTCCATCTTCCCTGCCAGAGTGGCCATACAAAATGCATAAAAAGCCTTGTCTCTGTGCAAGCCCTGCTCAGCAATAATAAAAACATCTCTGTATTATCAACCTTGTGTCCAGCACAAATCCCAAGCACAGCCTCATACAGACACTGTATGAGAAAATTAGCTCTAGTATAGGCAAAATCAGCACAACTGCAGAATGTTTCCTGTAACGTTCTCATGTTAAATTTCTTTGTGTTTGTTTCACTGTGTTGATCAGCCTGAGGGCTACCAAGGATGCAGCAAGGATGAATTAGTGGTACAGATTAGGTAAAAGCTCATAAGAATTGCTCTCAATTAAGAAGAGAATTTTTTAGCAGAATATACTGAAATATGCCCAAAAGGGATGATACTGTTTTGAAATATCACACATTATTAGTATCTTACATGAAGTTTTAACGTAAATTGTTGAAATTCAAGGACTTCATTTTATTTTTCATGGGGAGCTATTTATGTAGCTAGAATATCTGCCCATGAACCATACAGCGGTACTAATTTCCCATTTATTTTGCACATGAAAGCTGAATAAATTGGCGGTGTACCCTTAAAACAGAAGAAATAACTAACAGCATCTGTAATGCTTGCTCTTTATAGGGCTAAGGTACAGTTGTCAGGTCCTTTATCAGGCAGACACCAGTGCAACTGAATGAAGTACTCAGCTGCTATAACTTGGTGAGCTGCTACTTTGCAGCTGGTCTGTGTTTTTATGTCTGTATTCAGTTTTTATATACACTGTGGCTTTAAATCTGGGAACGTCTGTTTTTAAGGAAGATATTGTGAAGTCAATTTCATAGTTCATGGAAAAGGGGAAGTTCTTAGGTGTGGTCATGTTTGACAGTACCTTAATTTAAAAATAAAACAAACATTTCCCACACCCACTTCCCTTACCTCCAAACCCACCAAATTTTTCTGCATTTTTACACTGAGTACATCCTTGAAAATGGAAAATCTCTTGAAAAATGCTAATATCCTGCCTGAACAATAAATTATCCCTCTCATATGGAAAAACTGGAGAGTTCAAGAAAATCAGTCCTTTGGTCTTGAAAAGTAGCCTGTAGTTCACTCCAGTTATGCAATCATTATGTCATTCACTGTTCTGGTCAAATTAGTAACTTAATACAGATGCAGAGTAATAAAGTGGCATGACAAGACATTTTTGTGTAAATAGGAGTTGCAAGAATTGATTTACAGATCTTCTGTCTAGCAGTGTTATATGGAAGTAAGTATAGTATGCAGAATTATTTGTGTGTGATTGAGCTGTGAAATCCCTGTCAGTAGATAATGATGCAGGTGGTAAAAGCATACATGTTTTTAAAAGAAAAAAGGACAGGACAAATTTATGTCTAGAAAGTCTGTTTTATATAAGAGGCAGCAGTGTGGTTTAAATTGTGCTTCCAGCTGTGCTAGAGGCTGGTGAATCATTTTGGGAAGGTATCACTGCATTGCCTGCTAAATTTCATCTTCCTGGATTTTTGCAGTTAACATTTTCCTGAAACAGGGTATTGGGTAAAATGGATCATTGGTTTCATTCAATATAGATACCTTTCTAGTTTAGTATAGTCATATTAAAATATGTATGCTAAATAAAACTCAGGGAACCTATTTGTGGCTGTTTGTTACAGATACAGTTTTACAACTTGAAGATTACACCATAATGTTGGGAACATGCTAGCAAATATTTTATAAACGTATAGCTAAATAGGCCCTGTATTTTTGTTCAGTAGACATCCCTTTTTAATGAATGACTGTCTGTAATATGAAACTGGGCATTTCTTCTGAATAGTAAGGTAGACAAATCACAAATCTTTGTTAAAATTTACCATTACTTTCATCCCGTATATGAGAGAAGCTATCGGATATACATATTTTGAGCGAGTAAAGAATTTGGATGTGGCCCTAACTCTTCTGCATGCAGATTATAGAGGTGCATGTATTCCCTTCAAACACAGTATGTAAGATTCCCTAACATGCTGGTATTTTTTAAATACGATCTGAATGGCTGGCTTTATTGAGCAGATAATTCTTGCTTGACTGAATGAAAGAGAGTGTTTGCAGTTCACTTTGGTTGTGTGGTACTTTTCTATTCAAATACAAAATACAGATGAGTACTGAAATATATGTAAGTATTTTAATCTATGTATTTATTCTGGAGTGATGGACTCCAGAAATATCAGAAGTAAGTTGTCATTACAAGATGATCGGTGCATGTGTTTATCCCTGTTTCTGCATCCTTTCACATTTTTTTCCTCAGTTCTGCTTCTACAAGTTCGAACTGTAGCTTTTGAGATGCCTACTTTTAGACTTTCTGGATTGAAGACAGGAGAATTCTAATTTAATTTAATTATGTTCCTTTAGAGAATCATGTGGTAGAGTAAAAGAGTGTGAGGGATATTTCACACTATGTACTGTATGACTTGACACTTGACAGTCGCAAAGTGTAGTTCAATGCCATGGATTTATTTCATTGCCATGTAGAAAAAAGATATTAAAGGCATCTTAAAGTGTGTGTTTGATCAGAATATATCTTAGGAACTTTATGTGTTCAGTTTTGACATGTTACATTTATTGTACCAGACAATATCTAGCTGTAATCATAAAATCCGTGGTTTTGTTCTATCGTTATCCTGGAGTTGTTTGTTTGTTTGTTTGTTTGTTATTTTCTCTTTTTATTTAGATGCAGAGCCTGAAAGGTGGTACAGAAGCCTTAGCCCATTTGGACCACTTGGAAGCTGATTACTATGACCTACAGCTTCAGTTATATGAAGTGCAGTTTGAGATCTTGAAATGTGAAGAGCTGCTCCTGACAGCACAGCTTGAAAGCATCAGAAGACTGATGTCAGGTGTTTTATTTATTTCAATTAGTACCTAATCCGTGAAAGATAATTTTCTTCTTAAGAGTCCAGGGAAGCCTATGGGAATGAAATGAGAACAGATTCTTTGCCATGTGAAGAGCTGCAAAAGTACTGTTAAATTAAAATTTACACCTGTTTATAAGGCATATACATACACATACAGAAGTTCTGGGATGATTCTCATTGCCTGTATTTGGAAGTTTGCATATAAGATGCACAGATTGTTTAAGTTTTGGAGAACTGAGATCAGGGAGGAGGAAATGTCTTAATTATTGGACTTATCTAACTGATAATATGCATTGATATTACTCATTTCTTGAAAGTGATTTGTTTTCAAAAGCTATATCTGCAGATTAGATTCCTTTTGCTACACTTGAGGCTCATATCGTTGTCTCAGATATAGAGCAGCAAAAACCTTATACTTCCAGAGCTGATATCCTACTTGCATCTCATGTACTGTGGAAGCAGTGCATAAATCATACAGCATTTTTCAATCCACTTCTATCCTTTAGACCTTTCTATCTTTAATGTTTGTGTTTAAGCAAGCTTTGTTTTACTGCTTTTAGAGTGTAGGGCTTGTAAAAAAAATTTTTCTATGGATAGAAAATTCTTCAAAGATTTGAAGCTGGATTGTATTATGAGTTGCTTCTGGAAAAGGAAAAAACAGAGATATCACAGATTTCTCTCACTGTAACAACACTGTAACTATGAATCTTTATGTCCTGTGATGAAACAACTATAACTGTATGTTTTGACAAAAGGATTGGAAACTTTATAAATTACTTGGAGAAATGTGGCAGCTTTGACTTAGTGCTTTTGTGGAGAATTAATTAGTGATTTTGAGGTAGATTTTGAGGTGGGAAATCAGACACTTAGTTTAGGTACTGAAGACATGGTATGATCTGCTTACTTATTAACTGAAGGAAATCCCCTGAACAAGAGATGGAGAAGAAATGTGTATCAAAATCCTTTGTCTTTGGTGTAGTGGTAGTAAAACCTCTGGGCCATCAGAGACTAAGCTGTAAAAATGTCACAGGGCAATACGGTTTGTCATTAACGTTTTCTGCAGAAATCTCAAAAAAAACCCCTCAAACCACAACCTAATCCAAAGTAAAACCCTTGGTCAGCTAAACCATCACCCTGTTTATTCCCTTGTGGCAACAAAACAGTTCACGGTTCTGGCTTCCTTTGCTATTTTAAATTTGTAAGATACGGTTTAATAATAAATCCCAAACTATGCCATAGGACAGAAAATGAAAAAATACAATTCCTAAACATGTGGGAATTGTTCAATGCATGAAATTACCTTCCCAGACTTCCTTCAGGTGGATAGAAAAACTAACATGAAAAATAAAGTGATGTGGAAGTGATTACATATATTTGAGACTATTCAGCACCAAATCTGAACTCAAGCATCTAAAACATTCAATGGTCTTTTAATGTGTTTCCTATGATGTCAAAAGAAAAGCATGGTCTGTTACACTTTCTTTTTAAAGTGTACTTATAGTAAAGTAGCAGATTTTGATTTTCCACATCTGTATGATTTGAAATTCGTGCATGTAAGCCGAGTAGATGCTGTAGCTTCTATCTAGTCTTTGACTATATTGATTCTGCAGAGATAGTTCAGAGAGTTCTCAACTAATGTTTTGAGAGCATTGAGTGCAGTCAGTTCAATGGTTTGAATTGACTGCAGTTGATTGTGACCCAGGAGAACTGAAAATTTTCAAATTCAGCACAGGATCTGAAAAGGATCAAGTGATTATAATAAATTGTCATATTATGAGCAACACTGCTTTTCACTGTCACTAATACCCACACTGAAATTCACAAAACATGACTTTATTAGGTAGAATTTATAAGGGTTTTATCTTATTTGTACAAAGTGTGAGTAAATTCATGTCAAAATGGTTTTGTGATGGGCAAAGTTGTATATTTCTGTCTTTAACTTCGCATGAAATTCTTCTAAAGCAAAATTCAGGTGTAAATTCTCCCATTTTATAACTGCATGGTAAAATATAATTGTCAGACATGAGTCATATTCTTACTCAGTGGTATCTCAAAGGGAGTTCCAGTGACTTGGCAGTTTTTACACATTGATGAAGTTTTACAGGGTTTTTATTTTTAAACTAAATGCTGAAGTAAAGAAGCTGTTTGGTAAGTTTTATTAGATTTTATTTTAAGGTGAATATCTTGCTGTGCTTTATTGTGTGGTCCTGCCATGACTTCTACTGAGCTGCAATTAACATGACAGTCGGAGTTCTGGTTGCAGCAGAGACTGTACACACAAATAACATGAAGTGACAACAGCTTTTAAAATGTTCTGAGGAAAATCCTATGCCTGTTCCTAAATAATCAGGTAGCTGAAGTAGGAGAAATTACAGTCTTTCTAAAAATAGTTGATAAAGTTGAAATAAGGAAGTTTGCTGTGGAATAGACATTTGACAGACATGCCAGCTGCCTCTGCCTGTTTCAGACAGCAGTAATGCTTTTCCTTCTTGGTGTGTTACAAATATATCCTACTTTATATGCCAGTGGAATAAAGAACAAGAGGTCTTTGCAGCTTCTTCATTCCAACATTCTTCAAGGATTTATAATCACCACTCTTTCCTTCTTGGCAAGAGATGAGAAGGCAGCATTTAAAGATGAGCTCACTGTTATTCCAAATGCTTCTCTCAGGAAGCTAAAAATCATGAGTGTTGATAAAACTATTAGTAATTACCTCCTTTTCAGCCCTGTAATGCTTTGAAGGATTGCCTTGAAATTGCCCTCCCTCCTTCCCTCCCTCTCAGGAGCAGTGACTGGGACATCAAAAACCTATGAGAGTGTTTTGGTGTCCTGATGTCTGAGTCCCCTTACATGAAATTATCATCTGATTGTAACAGAAGAATGACGCTGAAGACTCCAGATAGTCTTGTCTATTCTGAACTTTATGGTGAAGACCAGAGAAAGCTGCTAAGCCCTGGGTCCCTTGTGAGACCCAAAGACATGCACGGGCATTGTGTTCAAGTCAGGTTACACATAATAGCTGTACATTTAGAACTGCATTTGTGTTTTAATACTCTGAGCTTGCCCGAATAGCAGGCTGAGCTTCATTGGTATTAATTTCTGTTCCTCATAAAGGCTTTAAAGCTGTACAGTGCCTTGCCTTTTGATGGCTTTTTCCTCTGACCTGACTGATTTTTGGTATTAGTCCTCTGAAAGGGCTATGGTGTTCTTCTGCATCAAATCTATGGTGTTCTTCTGCATCAAATCTTGCAACTCAGTGGGAAGGTTGTTGTTGAGGAAAACAAAATGTTAATTAAATACAAACCACTGATTTTATTTATTTTTTTTTTTGCTGACATCTTTGAAATAGAGAAGAGAGATGAAGTGGTGTATTATGATACTTACGAAAGTATGGAAGCTATGCTTGAAAAAGAGGATATGGCAACATCTATACACTTGCAAAAGAATTTTTGTGGATTACGTTCATTGTTTGCTAGAAGTTGTTTTGCAGAAAACTAAGTTAAATAGCATGTATTGTTAAATTGATGCATTTAAGATTCTGTTTACCTTTCTTCTAGCTTTAAAGGAACCTTCAATTACTTTGAAGTCAACAAATAAACTTATTTCTATTAATTAATCAGAACACTTTCATGTGGCAAGTACATGCTAGAACGAATGTTTTTATGGAGAGTAGTTTTGTATATGTTTGCAGAAGAGAATTTTCAAATGTGTTTCTCACATAGAAGTGAATTCTATTTTCATTCTCTTACCCCATCCTTTTAAACTTATGTCATGTGTTGTTGATATTATGAATTTGGCAGATCTATATGAAATCCAGTCTACATTCTTAATTTGTAATTCTAGTTGTGCTGTTTAGGTCAAAGTTCTGAGAGACCATTGTAAGTACTTGTTAGAAGATAGGTTCCACCCATACTCTGTACTATAAAGCTATGCAGAAATGTCAGTTGAGGCCTCATTCTGGACTAGGATGAGTGGTTGGTGTGGTTGTGTGTTCCCAGTCATGTCCCTTTATGTGAAAGATGACCCTTTCATATAAAGAATTCTAGTAGATTGACAGTAAACCCTTCAGGTCTTGCCTCCACTTCATAATAATATCTATTTCTATACCTAAATCTGAAGCATAACAGAGCAAATAAAAGTTGTTGATACCATTTTATATATTGGATAGTTTGTATTTTGTCAGCCATTGCCTAGTTTCTAATTAACCCAATATGGAGAACACTGCTAATGAAGTATTAGGAGAAAGGTCTCCTGTTAGCTGATTATGTGAAGTAGCTTGCTTAGTTATTGAGTTTGTTTTACATGAGCTTGAAAAGAGAAGAAGTATCAGGAACCTTGTTAGTATTTTAGGTAAGAGCTAACTTGTCATATTACGTTAATCTACACGGGCTACAGTATAATATGATATTTCCTCCTGGATATGAAAGGAAACAGCTAGCACCTTACAAAGTAGACACCTGGGTGGTTTTTTTTTGCTTTTAAGCAAGAGCCTGTTTGCTGTTCTTTGCTTAATGGAGTACACACGTCAAGAAGAAGCCCTGAAGCAGGAGTAGAGATTTTTTAGCATGCCAATATATCTGTATAATGAACTAGTCACCTTCAGTGGCTCATTTGTTTCAAGGTTATGCTGTGATAGAATACCTTGTTTAAGCTGGAGTTGGTTTTGGCTGTAGCAGGAGTAGCAGCATGTCTGCTTGTTATTTGTGACAAGATGCAGAGCTGTGTTGTTTGTCTGCATCTGCATGCAGGAGTGGTACAGTACATCTTCTCAACAAGGTGCTGGGAGAGCTGTGGCTATACTGCTTTCAGGACCTGAAGTAATGTCTCCATGTGGAAACTGGACATCACATTGCTCTAACTACTTCCAGCTCTTACTTATGTCATTGCCCAGTATAACATTCTTTGCAGCTGGGTGCTGCAGAGACATAGCTTTCAGCTTCTAGAAAAATCACAGCATACAGCAATGTGTATTTCAACTTGCAGAAGAAAATAAATTATCTTTATTTGAGCAAGTAGAAAGAGCAGAACCTGTTGTGTGCCATTGTGTGGCACTTGCTGGGCAGAAAAGTATATGTCCATTTTTTAGCTTCTTACTGCTGGATAATGCAGACTCCTACTAAACTTTCTGGCAATTACCTGATATTCGAAACTCAGAGATTTGTCTAATTTCTTTAAGCAGTCTTTGTATTTTCAGTAGCCTTTCTAGTGATACTGCAAAGCATTGTAACACTGTTATATAGAGCAGTATTTAAGATGCCTGTTGTGAGAGCTTGTATTTTTTGGGAGTAAAATACAATTCTTGCTCTGAAGTGTTTCAGGTTAAGTCAAGTATGCAAAACTAAGATACAGATGGGATACAAAAGCAGAATGTAGATGGTGAGAATGAGGGCAGTGATGACTGAATGCTATGTGAAGAAAAGTGACTTTTTAAGGGTGAATATGAAAAGTACATACCGTGTGGTAAATCTGTCTGTCTCAAGAAACATTTATTGTTGAACTGAGATGAGAGTGTACTTAATGCATTTCAGATTGCGTTCCTGACTTTGCGTGTTTCAGAAAAGTATCTTAAAGCAGACTTTTAAACAGGTGTTTTGTTTTTGACTGGGTTGGTGAGATGTTGGTGGTAGATTGGTGGGTTTTTTCTTTCTTTTTTCTTTTTTTTTGTTTTTTTGTTTGTTTGTTTTGTGTGGGTTTTTTTCTTTTTTTGTTTATTTTTTTTTTCGGTGATGTCAAATAATTGTACCAAGCTTTTATTTAGAAACTTTCATTGAAGGTGTCTTGGAAACATAACTCTAGAATAACTGAAGTGACATTTTTAAAATGCATGGTTTTACAGAGTGTGATTTTTTTCACTGTAATACCATGAGTATAAATTCCTTATTATTTTTTTAATACAGTTTGCATTTGTTAATCATTCTATGGTGTTCCTTTGTGTTGATGACAGTGAGTTATTAAAAAATAAATTTTTAATAGCAATTTCACTTTTTTTCCTTACTTCTAGAGAGCTGGCTATAGATTTTTCATGCAGGAAATTGCTGCTGTTATGCCAGTCTACCCCCTGCTGGCTACACATTAGTATTAATTAGATTATCATATGGAACAAGCAGCTGATTTATTAGGGAGCTAGATTTATAGCAAAGAGCCAAGGTGAAAAAAATGGTATAGAAGATATTATGAAAAATATCCTTGAAAAAACAGAGTTGGGATGAAATCAAATGATTTTGCACCTGGAAAGAGTATTCCTTATCACAAACAGACTGGGAGAAGCAACTGATTGGTGAAGCTTGCGTTATGTTCATAATGTGTTTTTTCATCTAGGAGACTTCCTTCACAGGCTTTTGTGTTCATTTAATAGGACACCTTTAGAATTTTGCAAGCCCACATTTTAAAGCGCAGCCCATGCCAAAATAGGTGTTATGTAGATGCAGTGACAGCTGGCATATGATTATTGGTATTGTTATTATTACTATTATAACAGCAGCGTAAGAACATGACTACACTGAATGCTTATAGTAAAATACAGTTTCTGCACATGAAAAAGTAACCTTTTATTTGGGCTGTTTTTTAAGCTGAAAGCAAGACTCACTGGAACTGGTTAGATATAATATTATTGCACATCTCTTTTACATATATTACATGTTGTTAGTCTTAAACCTTGTAGTTTATCTGGTGACAAAGGTTGAAATAGTTCCTCACCTCTCCCTTTTTGTCTATTTAATAGAAGTGCAATTTGATACTGTGAGATCAGTTAGTTGATTAAAGGAAAAATGAGCATTACTTCTTGTTGCTTTCCCAGTTCCATAGAGCTGATCAACATATTTCTTGAGGTGTGGCTCTCACTGGACATAAATTCACAGGGAGGTTGTAAAATCCCTGGAGGTATTTGAGAAGTGTCTGGATCTGGTGCTGGGTGATGGTGTAGTGGTTATAATGGCAGTGCTGGGTGGACTGAATGATCTTAAAGGTCTCATCCAAAACTGACAATTCTATGATAACATGCCTGCTACCCAGTGCTTAGAAGTAAGGGCTACCTTGCATGTGCAATAGGCTGTGTATTCCTTTTCATACATCCAATTATTATTTTTTGTTTTGCTGTTTTTGTTTTGCCAGTGTTCATTGGTAGATATTGAATTTGTCATCTGCCCTAATCATCCAGAAAATTTTCTTAATGCTGCCATCTGGATGGTTTTTTATTTCATTCTTTGTTTGTAGTCACTTAATCTTGTCTACTAGTACACTTAATCTTGTCTACAGGTAGAACCCTGCATTTGTACCTCTGAAATTGCAACCTTTCCTTTTTCCTTAGACCATTTCTGTAATTAGTTAAGATGATTCAGATTGCTAATCCTGTCCTGAAACATGTTTTCAGCCCCTCCTAGTAGTGTTTACTGTTCCTTGTCAAAGAGATCTAATTACATCAAAGTAGATTGTTTATTAATACAAAGTCAGCACCAAATACATTTTGGTTAGTTTTGTCCTCTTTACATACTTAAAATATCTTTCATTATTTCATTTAATCATAAAGATTTAAATAATGTTAAATAAAGTGAAAACATTACATGAAATTGTGCCCCCTGAGTATTTGAGACATGTCAGAAAACCCAAACCATGCTTAACTTACATTTTCTCATTAAAATATTAATACCTAAATAGAGACTAAACTATAAACTAGATAGAAGTATTACAGAAAGTTTTCCAGATTCTCTATTAGTATTACATAGCTTGCTGTGTCTTTGGAGCACAGAAATGAAGTGTTTTGTACTTTCTCAGCTACAGATTAAATTGTTTGAATGTTCCAGGATTAACTCTTTTCACCAGGGGGAAAAAAGCCTCCAGAAATAAGCAAAAACCCAGCAGTGTTTGACTATATATATTTGTGGACCTGTTAGAGCAAGTGCAGAGCAGGTCCACGAAGATGATCAGAGGGTTGGAGCACCTCTCCTATGATGACAAGCTAGGGTTGTTGAGCCTGGAGAAGAGATGGCTCTGGAGAGTCCTCAGTACAGCTTTTCAGAACATAAAAGGAGTTTTGTGCTGTGAAAAAGGAGGGAGAGTGCCTTTTGACATGGATAGATATTTTACATGCACAAGGGGGAACAGTTTTAAACCAGGAGAGATTTGAATAGTTGTTAGAAAGAAATTTCTTTACTCTGGGGGGTGCTGAGCTGCTGACATAGGTTGCCCTGAGAAGAAGTGGGTGCCTCATCCCTGTAAATCTTCAAGGCCAGGTTGGATGGGGCAGAGCAGCCTGGTTTAGTGAAAGGTCCCCTCTTCATGGCAGGGAGGTTGGCACTAGATGAGCTTTAAGATCTCTTCCCACCTAAGCCATTCTGTGATATACCTGTGATGAACTGGGACAGTATTTGCACAGATACCTTCGCTTTTGTCAGTTACCTGTATACAACAGCAACACTGATGTTTTATTGTCCTGTACAGGAACACTGGTTATTTTTTTATTTGATCAAAGCATGTCCATAGAGAACTTGCAGATGAACAGCTTTTTTAAGCATCCATACTTGCACAACTGTGGGATTTGTTTATGACTGTACATCAGACTTTGTTCTAGTTCTGCATAGTGCTTGTACCAGGTCTAATTACATTGCTCATACTGTCCAATTTCCTGGCCCTCAATATCGTCCAATGAAGTTATCTACTTGAAGTTGTAACATGGCCTAGTTTGTTTGTTTGTTATTTTAACCTATTCTTATTTGCAAACAATGTGACAAACTCTTGTTTTAAACCAGATGTTAGAGATGTGAGATCAGTGTAATAAATGAACATAATGAATTATAACAACTTCATTCCTGTCTATGCTTGCAGATAGTACATGGGAAAGATGGGCTGACACCTGTAAATGGGAAGTTGTCTATCTGCATAAACAGAAATATTGAGAAATTTGGGAGTTAGTTATTTTCCATGTGTGCAAATACATGGGGTTAAACAGGGGCTTTATGGAGTGTTGACAGATTGATGTTCTTTGCCACGCTTTTACTGGTACTGTAGAACAGACTTTCCAAGCAGCTGTCACTTGGATCTATTCTTTTGGTAGTTAAAAGTAATAGATTTGGGGTGGTTTTTCAGTTACAGTTCATTGTAAATTAAATGAGCTTGTCTGAAGTAGGCTCTGCAGCTACTATTTTTCTAGATGCCATTTGCTAAATATGACATTATGTAAATCTGTATTTAAATACATGCTCTATAGGTTATACTTTATGTCCCTTCAGGAGATCTGTATCGCAAAACATAATGAGAAGATCCAGCAGCGTCACCAGAGCGAGAAGGAGTACAAAATGCACCATACTGTTCAGCTGGTAAGTTTGAGTTTTCTGCTGTTGAGCTTAGCCTGTCATTAATAGCTTGCATTTCTCATTATACATTAATTAGGAGAGCATTCAGAGTGATAGCTCTTTCAAAAGATGGTGTTTATCCATGACCTTTGCACCACGGATTTCTGTGTCATGCTGGTGGGAGGGAATATATAGCTGTGTTAGGAAGACATGAGAACCAAGCAAGTAGAGCAGTTCTTAATGCTAGGCTGACAGTCTGAGTGATTTGTTAGCGTTTATCATCACTTGCACATAGATGATTCTGAACATCTCCAAGTATCACGTCCAGTATGCTGGTAGGAGTAGGGAAATCACACAATGATTCTTGAATCTTAATAAGCTTGGATGCTACTTTTCTTTTTTTACTAAAGCTATTACTGGAATTAAGTTGTATAAACTTACAGTTCCAAATGGATGCTCCGCAATTTTTTTTCATAGCCTGGTTGCAGAGAATAGGCCAACTAGTCTCTTAAGTTGTACCTAATATACTCAAAAAATATTCAAATTCTGGATTAGGCCTTAGGAGCTGATATAGTATCAATATTTGATAGAGATCACTGACAAAGATGCATTGAAATCCAAGTCTCTTTAATTCAGGCTTCAATTAGATTAGTGAAAGTGATTCTGTTTCATCCTTATACATTTTTAACATTGATATATTTGTCCAGGAAGTCAGCTGCATAATTTATTTTATGGAAAGGCTACTTGTCAAAGGCAGTATGTATTGGAATATTCTTTCAGGAATTAAAAGAAAATATATATTTTTTTCACAAGTTCTTATAAGGCAGAGGAAGTTACTGTGTGGATTGTAGCCCATTTATCAGTCTTACTAATAAGACTTGACAAAGCCAAAGGACTTCCTTGTCTCTCAAGAGTACTGCAGAGTTTTATATTATGGAGTTTCCCACTTGAATGATATAAAGAACCTTATGCTAAGTTTTTGTGTTTGTGTGGGGGTTTTCTGCTAAAAATGTGACTGAAAAATTCTAGCATTATGATAAAAAAGGTTTTAAATGACTGGTTTTCATTAAGAATTTTGAGAATATAAGTCTTAGAAAACCTTTGAAAAGGGGAGTCCAAATTTGAAACCAAAAAAGATTTGCAATTTTACTGTTTTACTTAAAAGTGAAACAAAATCAAATAAACAAGTCGCCCAAAACAAAACACCAAAAACCTTCAGAAAAAATTTGATCTGAATGCATATGTAGCATTCAGATACAGTGGTAGAACTACTTTTCTTCCTTTCTTTATGCTTTTGTTCTAACTTCTTTGCCCATTGTTCTTACTTTCGTTTACCACATGCTTCTCATCCTCTTCACCTTTATATGTTTTCTGTCCTTACTGTTTTTCAGACATGTTCTCATCTTTCTCTCCCTAATGCATCTATACTTCCTTCCTTCCAAATCACAGCAGTTGGCTTTTTATGAAGGACACCAGGCCACTAGCTGACTTATGAAAATAGCAGGCAGACACTGCTTTTGTGGTAATCAGTGAGAGTAAAATGTTCACAAAAGTGATCAGAATTTTTGATGTTGAAGATACAGATTACTTTTGAAGAAAAGTAATATTAAATGCTGTGAGTCATCTTAAGAATTAAAGCTGCTGTTTCTGCTGCTCAGGGTTTTTGCTTTGTGGTCAGCTGTTACATCATTTTTCCTGATAGCTTCTGAACTTGCATGCAGTGAATTTCACCTTCTGGTAATCAGCTTCCATTTCCAGTAAATTGACTGAGGTGTTAGTGTTTGTTTCAAAGTTGTAGTAACTCTGCTGAAGTTCTGTAAGAAAGAATGATTAGTTAAAGGAGATGTATCCAAAGGTGTATTTTCCATAAGATAAAATCACTGTACAAGAAAAAACACAACTATCCTAGGTGAGAGGAAGAGCTTCAGGCCTTTACTTAAGTGCAATTATATAAAATCAAGCTGGTTTGCATAACAAAAGCTGGATTAAATACAAACTTATATTTACTGTTGTAAGTGTGAAAACATTTACTTAATTTGCTCACTGTTGGGTTCAAAACTTTGTGATGCTGAGTTCTGTGTATTCTTGTACTTTGAAAATACAAATATGACTTCTTTAAATGGGCAGCCTTTCAATTTGGACTGACATTTTGTTATTGGAATGAGGGAGAAAGGGATACTGCTTTGCTCTCTGATTAATTTATACAATTTTAATTCAAGGGGGCTTCTCTAAGTATAGCATTCTGTCACTTGTTACTTCTCATCTTTCTAAGTAACAGGTCTTCCAAGTGTTCCTGTTAGAGATTGAAATGTTTTTTTACTGAGCTTCGAGTTTCTTTGAGAAAACAAAACACAAAATGTATAGTATTTTTTAAGGGGAAGCCAAAGGCCAAGTTTTGAAGCTATGTTTATTTGAGAAGTATCTTTTTAAGTAGCTCTTCACATTTAGAACAGTTTTTTCCTAGTGCAGCCAAATAGAGCACTGGATATAATATTTGCATGTTTTCCGTATATTTTCTCAGAAACGAGATCAGCTGCAAGATGAAGAGGAAAGAAAGAGCTCCTGGGTTAGTCAGGAGCGACAGAAAACCCTGGACAGACTTCGTACATTTAAGCAGGTAACAGAAGAACAGTTGTTCTTTTGTGGCAGTTTCCTGTCCCAAAGAAATTTTCATACATTCCAGTAACAGCATTCACTGGGCTATTACTCTTCTTGATATTATTATGATGATTCTATAATATATAAAATATATAATAATATGTATTATATACAATACTAATACTATAATTATAATAATATATAATAATTAAAATTATTCTATTACTCTATTTGATATCATTATTGATACTTTTTCATTATATCATGAACTTATCTTTGTAAAATTCACAACAAAATATGGCATTGTTGGTAGCAGGTTCCTCTAGCTGTTGCATTCCCAGTGCCTTAAGTTTCTGTTCTCTCTTACACATGTATCCTGTGACAAGACACTTGGCACATGTTCCCAAGAAGTATAATCTAAGCAGTACTTCCTACAAAGAGCATTGTCATCTGACATGCCCTCCTACTACTGCTGATTGCTAGAATTATCTGCCCCTTCTTATTACAATGGAACCATCAGAAAATGCATGGAAGGTGGCATGAAGGGGAAGGAATAAGAAAAGGACTGAAAATAAAAAGAAAAGAGAGACTGTATTAATTGATGAAAACTTTTTTGTTGAATACATTAGGAAAAAAAAAGTATGAGAAGTTTCTTTGCTGGAAAGTTGTCTTGTTCATCAGTACACTCTTCATGTCCTTATTGTTTGCAAGGCTCTTGAATTCTGTAACTTCTGTAAATTAAAGCAAATTTCTTATGTTAACCAGCCACTGTCCATGAGCTATTAACATACTAATACTGTTACATGTTATTGCTGTAGGCCTACAAGAGTTGTGCAAAAGATAATTAGACTTGTCTTTCAGAAGAAGCTTAATTTTTTCATTAAATAGGTTGTGAATAAAACTAATATGAAAAGACTGATAATGAGGCAGAAAATTTAAGAAGGAAATGAAATCTGAAAATCTTAGCTGTTCTCAAGATACACCTTTTAAAACAGTATGATTCACATATAAGGCCAGTGTATTAAGTCAGACTGCTCTGCACTTGCAGAAGGAGCCATTGACCAGGTTTAGAAGAGGAAAGCTAGAGGGAATTTCGAATTTTAGTTTCCAGAAAAAAAACAGTTCTGAATGTGCAATCTGATTCTTAGTGAAATCCTAATTCTAACCCATGCATTTCACTGACTAGACTAATCATAAATAAATTGTGGCTTAAGTAAGAATAAAAACTAAGAATATGAATACATTTTTGAATAAAAGCTGGGGATATATTTGCTTTGGTTTTACATACAGAGCAGAATAAAAATTGTTTGTCAGAAATGTCAGGTACATAAAATCTGAAGTAGTCCATTGCATGTGCTTACATAATTGTCAATACCTTATTCACTTTAGCGGTACCCTGGGCAAGTAATACTCAAATCAACCAGACTACGGCTGGCTCATGCAAAAAGAAAATGTGCAGCCAGCTCAGTGCCCTGTGTCGAGCAGCCTCAATCTTTGCCAGCAACCACACAAATCCAAGAGAAGAGCGAAGAGGTGGAATTGGAAAAAGCAGTTCAGCCATTGCAGGTGCAGGAATCTACAAGCCCAAAACAAGTTCAAGATGTCTCTTTGCCTCCTAATGGTGTTACCTCTGACCTGCCCCATGTTAGCACTTCTCCACTTACCAGTGACCAGCTTCAACCAGTAGAGACTGCTACTGGAGTACAGCTTCCACCCCCTTTGCCTCCACCACCTCCACCTCCGCCTCCACCTTTGCCCTCCAAGGAAGATGCCACCAAATCCTTAGAGAAAAGTGACAGCTCTGTCAAACGTCAGAGTGTGGAGAAGGGAGTCCAGCACTCTTCTGGTGTCCCACCAGCACATCTGTTCGATAGCAGTCAGCTAGTCAGTGCCAAGAAGAAGCTCAAGAAGACCGGTGATCTAGAGGGTTTACAGAGGAGGAGAGGTACTGTTTTAATTTCTGCATAATTAATTAAAAGTTTATTGTTATTAATTTAAAAACTGTAATGCACATGAGTTCATCTTTTGAATTGCTGTGTAGGAAAGTGTATTCTGTGATTGATTTATTATTAATGGGAAAGTTGTTAAATCCTTTTTAGCTGATAGATGCTGGAATCTTGAACACTAGGGCTTTTATGACACCGTGGCATATTTGTTCAGTAGGAAAACATTTGAGAAATTGAGTCTACACTGTACCATGTTAGACTAGATAAAAAGTGGACCTAGGTGCTGTTGAAAAGAATATTTACACATCTACTTACTTTATTTACTTACTGCCAACCCTGCAGATTAGCTCTGTTTTACCAGAGGATGCAGTGTTCTATTTACTAATAGAATAACAATAATTTTTATGTAGTCCTATCATTTACTTTACTGACTTGCATTTTATCTTGCAATTTTTTATAAATCACCTATTGTGTGTGCAGTTTTATATACATCATAATATGACAAATAGAAATTCAAATCAATCATTCCTGTTAAGAATATTGTTAATGTCTGCTGCAGCACTCTACCTGCTGCTCCATGTCCCCTGAGATGTTCCAAGTTTCTAAGTGGCTTCAGAAATTTGTCCCTGTATGACAGACAGGGGCTTTACAGTCCTTCCCTCCCCCTTCAAATGTGCAATCCTCTATTCTTTTACATCTCTCTCTTCATTGGGACTTTTCTTTCTAGGCCTTTAGTGGGATGGGCAGCCTATTCCTAAATGCAAAACAGGTTTCAAAAAACGTATTGTACGGTGTACAAAAGAGAACTGGGGATGGATATGTATTGATTGAGAAGCGCTGTACAAATTACATGCTATTGTATGCGAGGTGTTTAAACTTCGTTTTACTTTATTATAATGCATTCTCTGGGATGAAGATCGTGCCCACTCTTTGGCTCTTTGAAGAGCCAAAGCCTGAGTTTTATTTTTGCAAAAAAATAGTTTCAAAATTAGTGATAAAAGAAGGATTTGCCATAAAGAATTACCTCTGACTTCTTTGTTTTCATTTATTATAAGAGAAGACTATTTTTTAAACTGTTCTGGGACTAGATGTTAACAAATACATGAACCCAGAGAAGCAGGAAGGTGCATGCTCTTGCAATTGACTATATTGCTGCATCCCCCACTGGCTTGTAGAAATAGTCATTCAGTAGGTAAAATTAGCCTAAAAATGCAAGTGATAAGGATGGATTGCACAGTTCAGTACCTATGACATGTACTCATTATCTGAGTTCTAACATAAAAAAAGATGATGCAGTAAACACTTTCATTATGTTGAATTCTTGGCCGTTTATTTGATTTTTCTGAATGCAAACAGAAAAGCCACACGGTTCAGAAAGTTTTACTTCCTAATAGAAAGTTAAGTAGTTAGAAAAATTACAATTGTCTCTATAAACCAGTTTTGACCTGGTAATAAGGAAGATTATTTAGAGGCTAAAACAGTATTGGAGCTACCATTATACTTATAGTGCAGGACTACCACATTAATAGTATGCAGGTACTTTTTGGTCTGTTGGAAATAGAAATTAAGACTGATAAAACTTAGTGAAAATATTACTCAAGGTCTTTTGATTTGCTGCAGTGAGTTCCCCAATGGATGAAGTTCTGGCTTCCTTGAAACGTGGCAGCTTTCACTTAAGAAAAGTTGAGCAGAGAAGTCTCCCTCCTTTTCCTGATGAAGATGATAGCAATAACATCTTGGCGCAGATCAGGAAAGGGGTGAAACTGAAGAAAGTACAGAAAGATGTTTTGAGAGAATCCTTTACAATTCTGCCTGACACTGACCCTCTGACAAGGAGCATCCATGAAGCATTGCGAAGGATTAAGGAAGCATCACCTGAATCAGAGGATGAAGAGGAGAGTTTGCCTTGCACAGACTGGGAAAACTAACCTGTAATTAAGCTACATTTAAAGAAAATACTTCTGCAACAGTTTTTTTATAACAGTAGCATCTAAGCCTCAGGTTGTGCATTCTGGGAGACTTAGTAGGAATGCAACTAAACTATCTGACATCCAGTGTGGTAAAACATGCACATATGAATTGAGTATCACTGACTTCAAAGAATTTAAGGTTCATAATAAGGAAAACCTTTTTTAGACAGTGTGTTAGCCTTTTACTGTTCCTGTACTTCTGCTGGATATTGACAGGACTTCTGAAAAAAAGCTCTGTTTTATTTAGTAAATTTGAAGGGACAGCTCCCAGTTTACCAAAAATGTTTAAAAAGCAGCACAATCACTCTTGGACACACCTTATACTTCATAATTATTTCTAGCCTTGTAAAAATTTGGCATGTCTTATTTCAGACTGAGTAACTTCTAAGCGAAGGACAGTTAGGTTTGAATGCTGAACACATTGAAATCTCATGGGTTATCCTGAGTGGCTGACTTCTTGATGGCTTGGTTTCAGTCTCTAAAATCTCTGACTTGAATTTCCAGGCTATAACCAGTAAATATAGAAATACAATTTATACTTCTGCTAGTCATATGAATTCCATGAACTTGCATTAATACTAAGCTGCAGTACCTGAACATAGAGATATCAGACTTCATCAGATGAAATTAATGATTTCACAACAAACCAAAAATTGGCAAGAGATCAGCTTTCAAAAGAATTGCTGCATCAGTAGCACAAAGAGATTTGTGACTGCAGCAGAACTCTTCTCTGTTGTGGCCCTCTGTTACTGATACGAGAATGAACTTGAGTATCAATGAAGGTTCCCACTAAACCTAAAATTTGAGAAACCTGAGAAATGACAGTATGTTAAGAAACTAAAAACCTTTTGCGAAAGGCCGTTTCGACAGAATGGATGACAAATATTTGTAATCCTTTTAACACAGTTAGCAGTAGAAGAAAGATAACCTTTTTGAATGTTCACAATCCAGCATTTCTACCCTGGTTAGTTATTACCATAGCTGAAGAGTGACTGTTGGTAAAGTGCTACAGCTGTTTAAAAACTGATTCTGACTTAGCACATCATCTGCTGAATGTTCTTGTGATTATGAAATACTGTCTCAATCTGTTACATTAGTATGGTATTTTCAAATTATAGTATTTTAAATTTTTGAAAAGGAAAATAAATGCTGCCTTCAATTCCTCATGAGCTAGCTGTTTGCCACCCTAAAGATAACCTTTCTATCCTTGCATATTCAAAACTCCCACTACCACAGCTCTTCAGAAATCAAGTGACAGCTATAAGAAAAGATACGTTTTGGAACTAACTTGGCTTTCTTTCAATTATTCTGATTTCCTAGATAACGGATCAGATTTAAACTCTGTGATTTGACTTTGATTTTAGCAAATCTGTTTGACTGATCAGGATTTTGTTTGCATTTTTTTGGCAAGATACAAAGAAATTTTCCAAGACTGGGTTAATATTTTTTAAATCGAATTGGTTGACCTCATAAGCGTTTTACATTGGAAGTTCATCTTAGAAATCTTCTGTGGTCATTGCCACACAATATGTTTTCCTCTGCAATTTGCAGCCCTAAAAAAGGAGTTCAGAATGTGGGCTGAAAATCACTGCTGCACAGGCCCTGGTTGATAACTCCTTTTTACCAGTCTAAATCCTGCTCAAGTCTTGTGAAATTACCTGGACCTAAAAGCAGGATTCAGTGTCAATTCAATGTCAGGAGTATGTGCTCCTTGGTCTTCACATATCTGGGACCTGTTTTCTCTAACCAGAGTCATACTTTATTATCAAAACAACCCTGTTTTCCTTAGGTGAGGTTATTTAACACATAATAGTTAAGACAGAAAAATGGTTGTACAGAATAGCTCATAAGATAGCTCAGAAATAGCTGTACTAACAGCTCAGAAAAAACAAGCAGGGCCTGTTCTTTCCAAGCACATGAAATAATTTGGGAGAACAGAGATTGTGACAAAGCCCTTGAAAAACTCAACTGAATAAATACTTTCCATATTGATGAGCATACTTGCTTGAAGATACAGACTGATTTACTAGCATTCATCATACAGGAGTAAAATAATGAAAATCTGTTACAGAAATAGCAGGCTAGTATTTTTTACTGTAAGGTTATTCACTTAATATCATGCTTTAAGATTGACCAACTGGTTTTTAACTTGTAAGCTCTGCACATGCCAAGAACAGGAGTTTAGGTTGAAAACATGTTTACCAAAGTGTGTTAGCACGCATTTTATATTAATTGTGATAAATTATACATACATCTCTATAGACTAAATGTAATGCAGTTACTTGCCTTACAAAATGAAGGCCAAATCTGACACAGTGATGTGTAATTTTTAAGTTCCAGAAAGTTCTTTGGTGTATGTGAAGGGAGTATTAGTGCTCAGTGAAGTTTCATTAATGAAGTTTGAGGACAAAACTAATAGTTACTAATTCTTGCAGGAGATCTAGTAATCTATTATATTGCCTGCCCTATGAGTTAACTTCCACATAAAGCTATGACTAAACTTTTTAGGAGCAGTTCTTTCCAGACAGACAGTCTGAACCATGTACAAAGATACTGAGGCGTTCTATATATTGAAGCAACTGAGCAAGTAGTATAAATATGTATTAGTTCCTGTATGAAAAATCCAAGAGATTACCAGTTATCAGAAGTATCCTGAGAGTATCTGTGTATGAGTACCCAGTAATGCACATAAATCACCATAGTACACTAAGAGTACTGTAAGTAATGCAGAACCTGAGTTCCTGTCAGTGGGGGGACAAGGTAACAGATAACAAGGAAGCTTTTGTTCTCCCTAGTCTCCTAATCCAGTATTTTGGGCATCTTCAAACTGATCTGTGTTAACTGCCAGTAATATCAGAAGGCAAAAAAAAAGACAAAGACCTGGTCATATGTGTGCTCTGACTCCAGGGTCACTGTGTCATTACCCTGGGAGCAAAGAGAATCTTTGCTCAGTACGCACTGCTCAGTATAGTGCATGTTAGAATTGCCTAATACATTGATCAGAGAATATTTGTACAGCCGTTTAGCTTTTCAGATGTTCCTTTTTCTTTCTTCCCAAACAGGTGCTGGACAGCCACCAACATGCGAAAAGAAACCCCAGTTGAAGATTACTTTTCTTCTGCATTTCTGAGAATTCAGAGCCAGCAGTTATGACCATCAATTCCACAGAAGGCTTTCTTTGGCAAAGAAATAGTCTTTCTTTGGCAAATAACTCAGTACATGGAAAAAAATGGCCTGAAATATTATTTTCAGGTCACTTTTTTCTTTAATTGTTCAAACAAATTCTGGTTTGGGCAGAAAGCTAAGTTGTTTTGACGTGCATTTTATACTATCAAGAATGCCCGATTCTTAAGCACTTTTTATATTTGCGTTAGTAATGTATGGCCAGTTAAGTGAGGGGGACATTTTGAGTTGGGAGACTACTTGCTGTTAGAGTAACTTTGGGGTTCCACACCAGCTATAAAATGGCCCCTTCACTGCACTGAATATCTCATGTGCTTGAAAATTCAACTAAATGGCTCCCTGCAGAGAAGCTTGCTGTGTAGCAGTCTGATATTCCAGAAAGAGAATTCCTAGTTGCACTACAGTAGCTGAAATTCAGTAACATGCAACTAAGGCTTTTTTTCTTCTTAGCTTGAAGAAGCATATGTCAGTATGAAAAGCAACAAGTGACCACAGCACAATGAGAATTAAGAGTTGAATTCAGTACATATTCAAGAATGTGTTTGTTTCCATCATGATACATTTAGCAAGACATACTGCAGCACCTTTTTAGAAGGTCATTTTTAGTCTGACATCTTTTTAAAGTAGACATTTTCATGCTTTTTTAAAATAATATTTAGCTATGCTGAACCAAGTTAGTTATACTTTTATCTTTTGTTATAAGAAGCAATATTTTGTAATTTCATACTTAAAAATATTTTTCTCTTTTGGTTTAAAATGGCTTTTGATTAGTCTAAGCAGCCCTCTTTAAAAAAGATCAAAGCACTTAAGCATACTGATAATTCAGTTGTGAAAATCATGCTATTATTGCTGGTTTTCATTATTCCCTTTAGTGGCTGCGAAAATGTTTGTATTTCATACCCAAAAGCCTACTGGCTGAAAAATGTTTCTTTTGATTCTTACTGTTTTATTTTTAAAGGAGAGTTACAACTTCCTCTGCAGTGAATACTTAGGAGTAGTCCTAAACCTCATGACTAATGGCTGCAGGCAGCTACTCTTACGATACCACAGTACCAAGAGGTATGTCAATACAGAGATACAAGTAGCCTTGTACCACCTAAAAACCTCATGTGGTATTAAAAATCAGCCCATTACACTTCTAGGAAAGCTGAATTTTCACTAGCATTTTGTTTTTACTAGCGTAACATACACTGTGTTTGAGAAATACACAGTCCCTGTCCTTTGTGTTGTGTGGTCCATTCACTGTTCCTTTTTTGACAGATAAACTACTATATGGGGATCTGGGTTCTTTTAAGTGGAGTTACTCATTGCTGCTGTCATGTAATGGAACACGTACTGTGTTAACATTTATAACAGGGGATTTCACGTCTTGCCGTTTACTTACAGAGAGAGGAGCAGGAGACCTTACCTTAGCAATAGGCTGTGTAATCTAAAGGAACTTCAGCTCTGGGACCCTTCAGTCTATTGAAGATGTTTTGCTGTGGCTGTCCAAAAATTAAAGCTCTGTCAAACATCTCAAGAGGATTTTCTTAACCATGTTGCCTTACTTATAAAGTTAGTGAACATTGATTTTCAAAGCACCTGCGAGCAGTGTTACCGTAGAATTGTATCAGTTTTGCTGTGTTAGTTGCCAGGTCTCTATTTTTCAGCTGTGTGAAACACCTGATACTGGCTTTCCACAGGCCTATAACTACATGATGCTTTTTTCTTAAACTTATTCTGTAAATTCTGTGTTACATAGTACGGTTGCAAGCTGTCTGATGCTGTGTTCATGCAGGAATAGCAGCAGATTCAAGGTTCATTATAATCATTCAGCACTGCCTATACCATCAGCTATTCTGTTCTGCATTTGTTTCAGTCACACCACACATTAAAACCAAGGTAATCAAATAAATTTTTGGCTGTAGCACAAAACAGAACTACAATGTAGAATGGTAACTCACATTATACATTTCATCTGAAACTTAGTGCTAAATTAACAGTGGTGAACAAACAATTTTTATTTTCATTTTTTCCTGTTTTCCAGCCTGCAGTTTCATTCCTTGGAGTGTGCATACAGAACACTAGCAAAATTTCAAGCTGAGGAAAAATAGTGTAATTTTAAAGTATTTGTGCAGTGGTTCCCTTGCACAACACGTTTGTCTGCAGTTTACCACTGTGTTGTTATCTAAATAGCTCCATGCTGTACTGTACTACAGTTTTCAGATATGTTTGCCATGTGATCTGTCATCTTTGCCTTGAAAAATGTGTGCATGATTGATGAAAATTACTCTTCTTAATCTGTTTCATATTTAGCTGAAACCTTAGATTTCTGTAGTAGCTTAGTCTCAATAGAATTGGAGTTCTCATATGAGCATGTATTTTATGGGCACACAAAAAGTAGTTGTTACGGTGAGCATAGCAGTATATATCAGTTCAAAACTGCCATCTTCTGTGTGGAAAATGAATGGGGGTTTTTTCCACATCCTGCTAAAAAAGAAACAAAAACAACTGAATTTAAATCTTCATGAGTCACTAGATGTCACAATTTCACATAATTTTCACTTTGATATAAAAATTGTGCATATGTAGTGTACACAGGCTAATGCATATAAGGTACCATCCTCTGCCATGTGAAATTTTCCAGTGAAAAGGGATGGCTACCACAGAAAATGGGGAAAGTTTAGTATATTTACAAGAAACTTAGGGAAACTACAATGGTCCTGTGTTGAGGTCAGTTCCTCCACAGCTGAGAAAAGCTGTAATAATTGTGTTGGTCTGTGAGAAATCTTGGCAAGCATCACTAAGGAAAACTATGTAAACATGCGCAAGGAAAAAGAGCCTCCATAAAAAGACCTGCCTATTGATATTTTTCATTTTATTGTTGTGGCTGCGTTGTCCTGTTGCTAGTTATTTATCTTAAGTAGTTCATCAGCTTTTGGGCTTTTTCCATTTTTAGAAATTTCTTTCTTTTTTCAAATTAAAAGTTTTACTATGGTGTAACTGATCCAGTGAAGTAAAGATTTGGAATGCATAATGTTATTGTACAAATGCTTATGTAAGGACTGAAAAACCTTTCATGAGTGGGAACAAGAAACTAAATACTCAGTTTCTACTGAAATAACCAAAATATAAGGTGAACAGCAATACTCTTGTTCAGAAATGGAATTTGTGTCAACAAGAATTTCCTGCTCTCATTCATGGAGGTTCCAGATCCTTCACAAATGACCAATAGTCTTACTCACTTTAATGTATTTTCATGTTATCTGTCTAGGGTAGATGAAGGCTTTTTTATTTCTCTCAAATATCACTTTTAAGTTTTGCCTGTTTTTTTTGTTTTGTTTTTTTTTAAATCTGACAGTCTGCATTCTACACCAGACACTTGTAAAATAAATTAGTATGATTATATATTGTGTTCTTTTGTGACTGAATTGGGGATAGAACTCAACATACTTCACTACATTATTTGTAAAGAATCATTTTGAGTATTATAAGCACTATATTCTGTACTGTTTAATAATAAAGTAATGATAGATGCATAACTGAAGATGCAACTTATTGAGAAGAGGAGGCAGAAACATTATTGGTTAATGTTACCCTTATTCCATTTGTTGCACTGAATTTCAGGAGTGTAATTTGTAAAGCAAGTCTGCTCATGCGTGTAATCAGATTTTATTTTCATTGTGATGCTTATGTAATTAAATTACCTGGATGTATTTCTGGTAATGATTTCATAAGCATGGACAATATGTTGTTGATGTTTCGCACTACAGAATTAATGTTAAGAACAAGTGAAGCTTCTTGCAAAGAAAAGGAGTAACAGAAGCACCTTACTGGGAGAGCATGTTGCATGATTTCGGTCCTCTTGGAGTTGACAGACAGTAGGTCATCCTAAACTTGACTGCAAATTGCTCTTTGGTGTACTAAGCACATCAACATACTGCTATCAATGCTATCAACACAATGGCTATTTTTAACCTATAAATATACTGTAATTTAAGTTTTCTTACAAAATGAATTTATATTTAATTGCTGCCTAATGCATAAATATTTAGAATTTTTAGGAGGGTCAAGGGAGGGAGGGCAGGCATGCCAGTGTATTTGCGGGAGGGGCTGTTGCATATGTGGGTCTTTGTACTTCCCGTTCAGTTTGACTGTTAATCCAAAACTCACAGCTCTGGCTGTGGTGAATCTGCAACCTAACATTTATGTATTTTTATTGTGATTCAGGTCTTCTATATTCTGTGGCTCAGAGCTTCAGAATTTGACAGAAAAGGTCATCTTTCCATTCTCAAATGTGAATGCTCTGTACCTCTAATATGGGAAATGACCAAGCAATTAATTTTATTCTGCTGAGTTTTTAATATTAATGTGTAGTGCATTATCTAAAGCTCATTAACCAGTAGTGCGTCCATTGGAAACAAGTAGAAAGGATGAAGACTGTTTTGGTGCATATAGTCCAAACTCTGCAGAGACTCTATTCCAGAGACTGTCACCTATCCAGGAATTAGTTTGCCATAAACTGGCTTGATTTTCAACTTATAAACATAGTTTTGACTTCTGAATTGGTAAATAGGTGTTGGGCATTGGGGATATTCACTTAACATCTTCCAGCGTGTTGTTGCTGTTGCTGTATGTTTTGAACTTCATTTTAAGTGTATACAAATGCATCATCATAAAAGGAAAGCTAAAGAAGTACAGATGGCTGCAAGTTGTCTTTCATGAATGAAGCCAGTGAAGCTTAATGAAACTAACTTCTTTGTTAAGCCTGTTGAATAAATAAGAAACAATGAAAACAAATTTTCATTCACTAGCTTTGTGCAATATTATCATTAGACTCAAACACTACTAGCACATTGTGCTTGGCTTTAAGAAAGTTCTTTAATTCCATTATATTCAAAAGGACATATTAAATGCATATTTCATTGTAAACAACTCTGCAAATTTACTATGCCTGAAAATGCTCAGTTATTAAGTATTAAGCACAAGTATGTTTAAAAAAAAGGTTAAGAACTAAACAAGCATTTCTAGCAATACCTAGAAACTAAAAAAAAATTTAATTGTCTGCTTCTTGGTCTTTTTTCTTTAGTGCAGCTTTTCTGCAATGCAAGTTTATTGCTGTGTATTTCATGGGGTTTTATTATCATGATTCAGAAATTCAAACCTGTACGCAAAGTACTGCATTCACCTTATTGTACATGCAATGTAACATCATACTCACAGTTTTGGTGCTTTAAAATTATTCCTCTTTTCTTTATTAAAGGATATTTATTTGATCACTGTCTTGGTTTTAACTTTATGTACTAGCTCTAAAAAAATACTTTTTGTATGGTTTGATTCCCACAAAAAACAATTTCAGATCTAATTAATTTCCATTCCCATAGTTATTTTTACAACTCAAATTCCCTGTCATGGTTTAATGCTAGATGATTGTGTCTAAGCAATGTTGCAGCATGGAATATTAGTATTTAGGTAACTTTTGTAAATGAAGCCACCTGAGCAATTAAGGTGTTACGGAAGAACCTTGCTCCTAAATGATGCAGGGTAGTTATGTGTACAGATTACGCGCACTTTCCATCTCTTGATCAAGAGACAGAAACACTCTATGAAAAAGGGTAAAAGTTTAAATACAGAAATGTTAAGAGCTTAGCACTCTTATTACCCTTACCATGTCCCTAACTCTAGCCTTTTTGTGTTACTACTTATGTAGACATAAATCTTGCAAAAGCAGTATCTTTATATTGTCTCTCTTTTCCCTTTTGCTTCTGTGTTTTTGGTGGAGTGCAGATAGGTTCTATTTCTAGCTGGTTCCTTAACATGAGGGAACCTAAAAGCTGTATTTCTGGGACAGGAACTTTTAAATGTCATTACAGTACTGAGAAAACAATAAAAAGGACATTTCTAAGAGCAACATGAAACTGACTTTGTATTTACAGTGCAAATCTGGATTGCAACATGTCTCACACAAAATTCAAGGCCTGTCTGGCTTTGGTTTCCTAGTGTTGTTTTTTGTGCCAGGTAATAATGATTCTTAATTTTGGGTTATGGCAGAACATATAGAACAAGTAGGAAATGTGGTTTGAAGTAATCAGTTCTTTGATCGTTGCTGACTTAACAGAGAAGAGAGTTGCGTTTGTGTCTGAGGCTTGTTCCTAAAGCTCTGGCAGTGTGTGACCATTACATGGGTGCCTGCACAGGTTTTGCTCTGTCAGCTGGTTTTGCTTGGCACTGGCTTCAAATTCTCTACAGTTTGCATACAGGTTGGAAGTGAATTTCATGTATGCATCAGGTTGCAGATAAGTGAATAAATATATCTGTAGGCAGACTTGAAAGGTGGTTGTATGCCATGCAGAATCTCTTGTTTGTACAACACAGAAGATTAAAGATATGTGGAACCATAATTTATTTCTTTTTCCTGTTCATTACATATCAGATGTAGATCAAAGGTACATCGTAAATAAATACTCCGTGGGCCACAGAGCCTCTGAAATAGGGGAACTACTGATACGTGCAGGGTTTGTCTGTTCCACTTCTTAATGCTCAACAGAGGTAGTAGGTACAAGGGAAAGAAGTAAAAATGGAAGGTGTGTTTGACAGATCATGTTTTCCAAAACTTAAGAACTTTTCCTTTTCTCAGCAGTTCTTACTGCTGCTTTCTATCATAGGGAGAAGCCCATTTTATAGGCTTCATTCTTCCTGCCATAGGAAGGAGCTTAGAGGAATCCTGGACTGCCACAGTATCTCTGAATCTTGGAATCAGTAAGCTATCAGTACGTGACTGCCACTGCCACAGCTGGAGCTTTATGTTCACATCACAGATCACTGTCTAAATCTACTGCTACAGAGTTGTGCCACTGTGTTTTTACCATTGGTAAAGGAAGGTTATAATGTCCGTCTTAAACCTTAGATGTACCATGTCAGCCATTTAACTGTTACAAGCATCACTTTGCTTATACAAATTGGTCTTCAGCAGAAGACCATCCCAGAGGTGTTGCCAAAAATCTACAGCATCATCACCATGTAACCTACCTTGCTTACAGAAGTGCTGCAAGTCTCTGTCCAACTCTCCATCCTGCAGAACTGATCCCACGGAGCAGCCTTTCTGCCCTTTCCCCCTTTGCACTAAGATTCTCAGTCTCTATTACTTTGTCTAAACTTTGTGCAAATCTTCACCACAGTCATGCTCGCTGTCCAGATTTTCATCAGCTCAAAGACAGCACATCTCCCTTGAACTGTTGGCTCCACAGGAAGAGCTGGTGGATAAAAACAGGCACAGATTACCTTCTGTGCTGTTAAAGCTACTGCCTGTGTTGCTGGGGTTTGTTCATTGTTAATCAACTAAAACTTTGGGAAAAAAAGAACCTAAACCGAAACAAAAGTTATATTCACATTCACACTGTTGCTGTCTTACCCCTTTATTCCTACTGTAGTTTTGTGCTGTCAGTGGGATGTTTGTTGGACATACTTGTGCCACAGGCAAATCATCTGTATTGCTTGTCACTCTTTCCTCACCATGGAATTGCAGCAGACTTCGTGACTTCTCTGAGATGTCTCACTACACCCCACATTGCTTACATAAGATTAAGCACATTCACAGTCTTTCCAAGAAAAGTCACTGTTTACTTCGTTCTTTCATCTTAACAACTTTTCTAATTAGCATCACATTCCCTCTGTACAGTATTGTTTAAAAGTCACAGGAATAAGGAAGATTGAAGAATCATGCAATTCATACAAAGCACTTATATTAACTATACTTTTTCTTCCTCAGTACTTTATTTTAATCCCATTCAGTATCAGTAAGAATGTAACTGAGTTCTTATCATACAAAGTCATCAGTGCATGCTCAAACTGCCATGCATGTTAAAAGCACAATTTAAACACCGTAACAGACATTTATGAATCAACTTCTTTTGAAGTACCATAAAAGGATGTCCATTTTCCTCCCACATGCACTTGCTGTGAGTAAAATGACTGTTGGAGGGGATAAAGGCCCATGAAAATAGTTTGACAGGGAAACCATTGCACACTGCTCTTTGTTTCTAATGGCATCTTAAAAAAAAAAAAAAAAAAAAAAAAAAAAAAGTCTTGAATTGTCATTATAAAATAATATTTATAATATTTTTTTTAAAATCCCACATCCTATACTTATGTTGATGGCATACATATATTTTTCTCATTCCTGTAATGGTTTCCTAAAGATTTCTGCTGCTGAAAAGGCTTTTCTTAATAGCAAAGTAAGTTGAAACATAAGGTTCTTTCTTCTCCTCCTGCCCAGCACCACTGTAGAAGCAAATTTATTTCCCCCACTTTGCAACAGTGTTTTGTGTGTCCCCTGACATACCCATACCTTGCTCTGTCACTCAGCTCTAAGTCAAATTCATTGAGTCAGTGCTGTTGGAAGGTTTTGCAAGGTCTGTTTGTTCATGCACCATTCCATCAATGATTTTGGCCAGCAGACAGGGTCACAAAAACCTGAGTGATACTTGGGAGGGTGCCTACTCTCTTTAAGCCATTCTGGGAAAAGATCAGAGGAGTACAGAAATTGTCCTCAGTCAAAGGTTTCATTAGTTAAAGCAAATCTCTGTTTAGGAGATCAAGTCTGTCACTCTTAAAACAACAACAAAAAAAGTGTCTACTTGGGCTATGTATTCAGGGAAAACGTGAATCACACATTGCCTACGAGGGCATGCTTTGCTTAATTTGTGTACAAAATAACATGTATTATATTTAAATACTCAAAAGCAGTTACATTTCCAAGTTAGTGCTATGTCCCATTTTGCAGAAACCCCCAGCCCTCTTCAAGTATTCAGCTTTTAATCTCTTATTTGCAGTAAGAAGCTTTAAACAGAAACTTTGTGTCCCAGACAACATTGGTTGAGACTTCACTGTCAGCCATCTGGGACAAACCCAGCTTCTGCTCCCAGCCACTAGCTGCCTGAGATAACTACAGAATCCCTGCCTTTTGAGGCCCAGATGAATGAATTTGCTGCAGTCTTGGTGGATGCTCAAGGTTACAGGGATTCTTCTGAATAAGGAAGCGCTTGGTACTGTCAGTAGTACCCGTTTGGCTAAGTGATTGAATGCAAGCTTTAGCTTCTGCTCCCTTCCCAGAGGAAGTTCCCTCTTGTTCCCCAAGAGGACACTGCAGTGTCTTCTGTTAACCCATTAACACGTCATTGCAGTAGCAAGCTGTGAAGTCTCAGTATAAAAAACTTACCCTGAAACACTGTAAATTAGAATTTCTTGACTTAAATCTGTCTAGATCTTCCAGCTGATGAAGGCCTGATCCCTTGACATGCCACTGTGACCAGCTAACTATTTTCCAAGCACCTGCAAGCCAGCATTTATGCTAAGACCCAGCACTGTGCTGGTGAGGGCCATAGAGGTCAGTTTACCACTGCCTGTAGTAGTGGCCCCATCTTCTGGTGCAGCCCGTCAAAAGAGAGACTTGAAATGTGGCAAATTTCACAGCCACCTAGCACCTATTGGTGAGCTGAATCTGTTCTTAGCCCATAAGTGAACCATCCTCGTTGCCAAGTTTAGAGAGGTGATTCTGTGTTTGGACACACCAGCAGTTCCAGTGCAGTTCCTTGCTCAGTCATGGAAATGACCAATGCTGTGCTCTGTGAGGCCTTATTCCCTTCTAGATTTTAGGTGTGTCCTAGTCACAGCTTCAACACTGCAATTTGGCTCAAGTGTCAAAATTCCTTTAGACCCCTCTGAAATGACAGCACTGTTTGCCACCTGCCCAACCTGCTAATCCAGACTAAGTCCCACAGCTGGGTTTCCCAGCCTGACTCAGGTACAGAGAACCACTCTGATCTTTGTACTCATTCTCTCATGGAGATTTCCAATGTAGCTATTTCTTATTTGCAGAACACCTGTCACCTATCCTAGCAGAAACAGAAGTCCTCTAGCTTGATGGGAACTTTTGGTGCCAATCCTAACACATTTTTGCATTTTGACTTGAGGAGTTACATGTGCCTTACAGGTATTTTCTATTTGCGAAATACAGACATCATTATTGGTGAAGAGCGTGAAAACTCATATCTTCTGAAAATACTTGCATTGCTGTCTTTTAGACAGCTCTGATTCAAGGTACTTCCTAGTAGCATGCCTCAGTAATGCTTGTTTAGAAGATCCCCGATGCTTCCTCACTGAGGCTGAAATGTTCATGCACAACCATAGCACCTCATACCCACAGGTATCTTTTGTGTGAGTGGGTTTTGGGGGTTTTTTGGGTTACTGATGTCCCAGTCAGGTGAGCTTGACGCTGAGTATTTTCTTATTTTGTAAGCAGTTTAGGGCTTATATTGACTGTAAACATGTTTGGTTGTTCCATGCTATGCAAGAGAATAGAACACAGAACAAAAGGAAAAATGCAAGAATGAGAGGATAATGAAAGTTTTGATCGGTAGGTTCAAATGGTAACAATAACCATCTCAAATAAAGCTCTCATAATTTCTTTTCAAAGAGATGGGGAAAAGCAGCTTATATCAAATCAACACATTACTCTGCTTCTTTAAGATACACAGAACGAAATTTCCTCTTTTCTCCCGCTGCAAGCAAAACTCTGAATGTGAAAAATGCTCTGGAGCAAAAGGGCTCCAGACTCGTAATGACAGAGCTACAGTTTTGATGCAGCAGCTTCTGAAAAAAAGACAGCAAGCCCTCCTGGGCTGCTTCTGGGACAGACAGCAGGTGCAGCTGGCAGGGTGTAGCAGCAGTGAGGCTAGGGACTAGATGCAGGATGCTCACACGAAATACTGCTTGTGGCACTCAGCTACATACTTCTAACATGGCTCCTCTCACTAAGTGAAAGTCAAAGAGAGCTGTACTTCACACTGATAAGATTTCTGGTTCCCATTGCTGCAGATTCCTGAGAAACAAAACTGCTGGAATTATAAAAATAATGATGTATTCAGAAGTGGAGAAAGTAGATTTAATGTCTAAATTTCCATCCACAGGTAAGGGCTAGGATCTTTCTCCTGCAGGCAAGTACAAGGTCATTTTGCTTCACATTTATTTTGTTTTGTTTAGAGACAATTCCACTGATGATTTAACAAAAGACAAGCCAGACTCAGAGAATTTCAAAGGTCTTTTTCCCTCTCTGCAAGTATCTGCATGACCATATTTAATTCAACAGGAGGAAATCTATACACACAGATTATATTTACACATACCTGATCAGTGTAGCTCTTCCTCTCCCCTTAGCACCTGGATGCATGGTATTGTTTGTGAAGGTCCTTTAGTTCTGCCCTCCTTCTTGATCTACTGGGAAAAAATCCTTCTTCTTCAAGAATTACCACAGTCACAGAAATGCAAGTTCTCTTCCAAGAAAATGTCTATGTTGCTATTCTCAATCTAATGGAAGTAAAAGCAGCTGACACACTGCTGGATCCATGCAGTGAGATGAGGCTTGGATGACAGCAGATGAGAATCCCCAAAGCAAGGAACAAGGTTGGAAACTACTTCCAAGTTAAAAGAAAGAAAAATCCCCAAACCCAGCTCAGAATTTCATTACACAAACATCACAAGTGATAGGAACTGATGGCAGCAGAAAACAGGGAGCACCAATGGCTAATACTGGTATCAAACCTCTAGTCATGAAGATAAAAGACTGAAAGGACCTGGGATTTGCAGACTGTCAGGATTACAGCTGTGTTCATGAAATATACCCCCAGTGCTGACCTTGGGAAGCCTCTAGCAATCAAGAGTGTAGTTTTGGGGCAAGCCAGGTGTGCTCAATGTCAGCATGATGTGAGCACCTAAGGAAAGTGTGATCCTTTCAAGTGGTTTGTAATTCCATTTGCAAGTCATTCTCGCCTATTTTACAGCTACACAAGGGTTCCACACTAGGGAATCTTTTGAAATCTGTGTTTTCCCCACCCACCCCGAATTTAAAACACCTTTGATAGCTACTTTCCTTCCAATAACCTTTATCTGAAAATACTAACGGTTGCCAGATAATATTGTTGCATCTGAGCTCTCCTTATGCAAGACCCAGCAATGAGGGGGAAAGTAGGTATATTGTGTTTCTTTGGTCCTATGATGAGCTGCCAGCAGTGCAGAAGTAGAACTGGCCGCTACAGGTCCCTGAGAGGTTGTGGCGGGCAAGCTGTGAGACTCCTTATGGTGTGAAAACCCACTTTTGTCTATAGTATCTAGAGGTATTATGACATTTAGACTCACACCTGCTATCTGGCTAGGCATGACCAGAAGAGTGGACATGAGCTGAACTGACTCTGGGATCTAACACAAAACTCTGCTCATTGTTCCAAAACATTTAACAAAACAGGGAAAATTCTTCCATCTTGTGTGAAGTGGAGTAAAACGAGGAACTAAGGCTGCTAAGCAAAACCAGAGATTTCAAATAATGTGTGTTATTCCGTGATACTGTCTCTGCTTAGCACTGTTCAGAGGTAGTGCACAAATGCAGCATTACTAAGAAAATGTAAACAAGACAATTTGAACATTGCTTAGCAGAGTCAGGTCCATTTTCTGAAAAAGAAACCCCAATGTATAGGTGTGCACTTAACTGTCATGTTCAGTGACTGAGACTGAACTCGCATATTGGGATAGAATTTCTTGATGGTATTTTTTAACTGTCTTCTGATATCCAGATCTAATATCTAATTAGATCTATCTTTGGCCTTAAGGTTTTTGCAATTAACCAAGTTACGTGCTTTTAGTCATCTCTGCATCTCTGCAGAGAATTAAGGTCGGCAACAGTTTTCCATTCCTCTCTCCATGCAGTATTTCTGAAAAATGGCTTTGATTTTGACTTTTGAATGCAGTGTTCACAGAGAGCTGTTCAGCAGCCACTTCAGTACAGAATATCCAAGATGACAGAATGAAATGGGGTTTAGCCTCTTATTGAGAGCAAACCTGAGGTTAATCCCCAACTGGTAGAAAAATGAGCAGAAATCAGAAACCTTTCACAACTGACAATTGAAAAGACATGTCCCAAAATATTAGTCTTTAATTGATGCATTGTTAATTCTAGGATTTTCTTTAAAGGAATTATCCTGGGAATGCCACCGATAGCGTTAAATGATACTTATTTGTGTAACAACTTGTTTAGCCCTTTATTTATTTATTTATTTATTTATTTATTTTACCTGAAAATGTATTTTCTTAGAGAACTTATAACCGCATTTCTGCATTATCAGTTCATTTTCTTTTCCTCTTTCCTGGATATATTGGCCAGGAAAAGGAACTTCCAGTCTATAATGGACAGTTTAATTCACATGTTTTACTTTGTCCACATAGAAAAATGCAATTTCTGGATCATTGAGGCATATGGATTATGAACAATACACTCCAAAAACTAGCTATCCAGACGGGGATATACTTACAAAAACCTTTTATGTCAAAGTCAGGATTTCACAACATAACACACTAATGCAAAATCCAGTAGCACCTGAAAGATTAAGGTAGCTGCTGCTATCACTTGCACATACTTGAAAAAGATTTAAGGGGGAAAAAAAAAAAAAAAAAAGAGTAATACATTCTCCAGATAATAGCAAGTGTATTTCAAAATAAAAAACTGTGGGTTTGATTTCTTTTTTCTCTCACTCTCTCTTTTTTTTTTTTTTTTTCCTATTTCTGTATTTCTGTGAGGCTTATGGTAATTCTTTTGTTTTTTTTTTTTTTTTTTTTTTTTCCAAGACTGTAGTTGCCATGTAACAAATTATACACAAAGTGACTGCTCTCCCCTCCAGTGCAAGTTCACGGTCATGTTTTCAGGCTACAGTACTGAACACTGTTTTCTTGTTTACATATTCCCATAGTTTCATTAAAGATAGATACAATGTACAGTACTTGTCTCTGGGACAGTAACAATTCAAATGGGAAAACCTTTACCTTAAAACAGAAGTGAAGAGGCTACAGTAGGTATAGCCACCTAGGTATGAACTTTAGAGCACAATTGCTAAATACTTGCCTATTGTACATAAGCATTAAAAATAGTCTTAGACATAGGATTTTATTTATATGTGCACGTATGTCCACCTCATCCCGTATTTATGTTTGGCAACTATTTGGGAATTCAAAGGTGCAGCCCTCAGTAATTGTATTATTTAAAAAAAAGAAATGAAGCTTATCTATTCTATGAGAAAAAGAAATTCTCAAATATCAATTTCCAATTTTAAATTTAATTTCAATAGGAAAATATTAAAAATGTGCACATCTAAATTTTTCCATGTTCTGTATATACATATGTGTGTGTACTTATACATAGAAATGCTCATGTACCACACATATTCACAAAATTTAAGTGGAAATATTTCTGTCCACTATTTTCCCCACACATATGACATCATATCTTTAAAAATGTCAATAATAATATCATTAAAAATAATATTACATTTATTCCATCATTATGTTTTTTTTTATTCTTTCTTCATCCTTATTATGTCCACTGAGCATTAACAGGCCAAATTCTCCTTGCACTTCCATGGATGTTATGCCAACGGAATGTTGCTGACATCACATCAAGGACACATCTGGTTTACAGCAGCACAAGTGACAGGAGAATCAGGCCCAAATATCCCCAGGAAAATTAAAAACTGGCTGTATCTGCTCATATGGACCTGATGAAGATATACACATCACTATCTAAAATCCCCTGAATGATTAACATGTAGCTCACCACAAAGTTTTCAACCAGTAGCACAATGAAACAAGCTCCCCCCACCCCTTTAATAAATGTGAGAAAATACCCTAAAAAATATGGAGAAAGCGTAAACATTGTGTATATTACATACCATATAATACATGACAGTTTTAGCATTTAACCTAAGCCACTTCCCTGACTAGTCAGGGGAGACCTGATAAATCACCAGTTAAGGGAAAACAAAAAGGTGTTTTATAAATAAAGCATGTCTTTCCAATATAAATGACAACCTGTGTGTATTATATGGTATATACACACAGTACATACATGAAAACAAACTTATCTTTTCTAGTTTTGAATATCAGTCTCTAAGTGAAGAAAACTGTGTTCTACAAATTTAATAAGCAGCTAGATTTCATGTTTAACATTCAAATTAATTTGGGGAGCAAACAAAGGTTCGTGCATCTTTCAAATCTGAGGTCTGACACTCATTCATACATTTTAAAAAAGCCCTCTTCAGCATTACAAGCAATTTATGGCAAGAATGCACTGTGATGCAAGACACATGACAATTGGCTTACCTTTCAAAGAGTTGGGTTTTTTAAATAAATCTATTATATAAAGAAATGTGTGTTTGCTAAAAGTCTGTTAAAATTACATCAAAACAACTTTAAAACCTGCTCACTGAGGATAATTCAACTCAATGTCCTGTTTTTAAACACTTGGTTAACAGTTCAGAATATTGCCTGGTGTAGTTTTGATAAAGATGTGATATGAAGACCCATAAAAGAGTAAACATGTCTTCAGTTCAATTTGCTATGACAACAAAATCTCAAGAAACAGCCTTTTTGGCTAGACACGTTCAGTGTATGAACAATCTCTTGTGGTACCTCTGTGCCCTTAATGAATCTGTAACAGAACAGTGCTCCCCATAAGCCATTATTCACAGAACATCTATGTCATGTCACATTCTGAAAAAGTCTCCTGCAGAACAGGTTAACAGCAAATTGAACATTCAATACAAGTATCAAGGCCAGAAAACAAATGACTGGCCATTCCTTGTTATCTGTGCAGGTCAAATTTAAAATCTTAAATTTATGTTTAAAATTCTCAGGGGGGTTTGGGCTTTTTTTGTGGGACTCACCTTCTATCACTGGTTGGCTTCAAAATTTAGTTAAGTGGAAGATACCATCTCACTGTGATTACATGGAATTCATATGAAAAACTAAACCTTACATTGGACAATATTGTAGAACACCAAAACTCCATAAAGAAATACAGTATCTTCCAGTATATATGTATAACTCTTAAAAAAAATCAAAAAACCAACCAGCCAACCAACCCCAAAAAACCAAAAAGGAAGAAGTTTATACAAGCAGTTAGAGTAAATTTGTTTCAATTAAAGATGCAACTCTCTCTCATTCCTGGCAAGAATAAATTTGTTCCGGCACTGCTTCTCCACAGTGCAGCATATCCTGAGAAATTATTAAGAACAACAAAATACAGGGCTGTCATCACTAAGTTCTTGCACAAAACACAGCATTTAAATATCTTAAATAAAACAGCCAATAACTTATATTGTATCTCACATAATGGAGTGTGTCCTGGGACACTGCTAATTCTTCCATCACTGATAATTAGAAAAGGATTGCATTCAATTATTGTTAATATCTTTCAAGTTATCTGTGGCCAATAATGTAAAAGGAGGTAATTTGTAATTCAAGGGGGTTTTTTTGTATTTTTTAATTCAACTGGCTACAAGCTGAGTTTTAAATTTTACATTGAATTACAAGTCAAATTTAAAACAATCCCTCTCAGAGGAGCATTTTCTAATTTTGTGCAACTTTGATGCAGAGCCCAACACAGTCCTATGAAGAGAGACAGTGCATCTTTAAGCTGATTGGCACTGAAATCCCATTTTCTTTAACTACACTCTATTAGCTTGGCCAAATTATCTCGTAATTCTGTTAGTTCAAATATTTTTCCATCAAGAATTTCTAAAAGTGTCTTCAAGTTATTGCGAAAAGCTTCTTGCTCATTCTGACTTTTCTCCAGACGTTGCTCTAGATCAGACAGCTGTCCTTCCAGGTCTTTGTTTCGAATTTCTACTTCCTTCAGAGAAAATACACAACATGTTAATGTGTCATCTGCAAACAGAAAGCAGTCTAACCTCCTGTTGGTACTTATGTGCTTTGTCAACTGCTTTTTAAAATAATTTGTAAACCTTTACAGTTTTCACTAAGTCAAAACCAGAACCTGAATTGATACTACAATTGCATATGTACTGCCACTTTCTCCATTTTCCCGTAATTATGTGAAGGGTGGAAATTTCTGGAGAGGGACGGACTTTAGTCAGTAAACAAATAACACACTCATTCAGGAGTGTTATCACTTCTATCATTCAGAAGTGTACTGCCTAGTGAAAACATATTTTCAGAGTTTACTTATGTTCAATCATGCCCTGATTTAGACTCTATTAATTGCTCAAGGACACGGTTCTCCATCAAAAGTTCTCATGGCAAAACCCGTTCAGAACACTGCTCTAGAGACAGAGGAGCACCACCTTATTCCCATCTCACATTACAGGCTTTTCACTCTGAAAATTAAGACAGAAGCATACCGCCACAGTGGATGTCAAGGTGACTGTAACAAATGTAAACCAGGAGGTGCAAGCTGCACATTGTGCCTCACTGCACAGCCCCCACCTGTGGAGCAGGGACAATGGGACAGCCACCACTGCTGAACAGGCATGCCATTCCCATGCAGTGGGGAAAGATGAAGTGCTGGCGTGCTGGACACAGCCCAGGGGGCCTGACCCTGAGCAAGCTCAGCTCTCACTCACAAGGAGAAGCCCTTGGCATCAGCCCCTGGGACTCCTCGCAGGTCCAGCTTGCACCTGATGAGGAGAGGTGCCAACTGCTCTGCCCTGTGCAAGCCAGGTGCCCTGTGTTCAATCAAATCACAAATGTAACAGTCACCTAGGTCTGGAATAGCATATTGTTCTTTGTTCTATTCATTGCACACCTCATAAATTCATGCTAAGTTTTGTAATTTCAGTTACAAGAATTCCTTTTGAAGGCAGCACAGAGACAGTGTGTTTAGTACACCATACACCCTGTGCAGACATCTCTAGAAAAGTGTATAGTGAATTCATATTTATGTATGGTAACATGTTTTTCAACACCTCCTCCCTTTACAGTGGCTTTGTGTCACAAAGCTTTAACTGGCCTGCTCTGAGATTTTACTGCAACTAGTTTTACAAAGAGGAAGGGAGATTTGGCAGCAGCCAATAATTGCAGCATGTGCAACTCCTCTTTCAGCTCTCTCACTGTTTTTGGTGTGATTCTTCACTCTCCCTCAAGGCTAAGAAATATATCCATGTTTACATTGGAAAGATCTCAGCTAACCATAACAAACAACCTGAAAACATATTGGGTCACTCAAGAGCAACAGGTATGTAATGGTGGCCCTGTGTCAAAGTCCATGGCCTGAGAAAGGTATCCACTTGTGAGGGGTTTGCTAGCAGCACCAATTGGGCACTGCACCCCTGGCCAGAGGAGAGATGGGGTGATGTGGCCAGTGCACAGTTTCAGCTTCCAGCCTGTGCAGCAGGGGAGAGTTCTGGACCCCCAGCAGTGGTGCAGCTGGAGAAGACAGAACATCAGGACATTCACTGCCTCATAGCTGTGGCTGCTTGTGGAGCGATGGGTTACCTCCCAGCCAAACTAAAGGTGTAACCTCCCTTACACCTTGTTTGCAAATGGACAAGTAAAATACTATGGAGTTTTGGGCACCAGCCGGCACACCTGAGAGCACAAATTACCCCTTATTGCCAGGATCAAGAGAAGAATTAATTTGTTTAGCACTGAATAATCTAGTTGCCAAGGTACTAAAAGCAGCTAGCTGGATAGAGCACTTGTAAAACATAAATAACATGCATACATGCTTATGTAGTGAATAGCTCCCCCCTGCTGCCACAAACGAAGAAAACTGGTTATAACCCAGTCAGTCATACCATGCAAAGGCTCTCCTTCATTGTGTCTACTCCTGCCTTCCAAGCCAAGTACTAACAAGTACTACTGGTTTAGTGATTGCCCAGGTTCAAGACCCTCTGAGGGTCAAGTGATTGCAGTATACGACATAAAAGTGAAATCCAAGGTCCTCTCAGCTTTGCCAGAGTGACGCAGTCCTTTCTTTAGAAAACTGACTGCTGTTTTTAAATATCCCATCCTGTCATTGCTTCTCTTCCAGTCACCGAATTTGTGTGCTCTAGGAAGTCTCCTTGCCACTGCTCTTACCTCAGAGATAATTAATTCCTGTAAGCAGGCAAGCCAGTAATGAAATAGACCACTTTGGGAAAAACCTATAGATACTTACATGGCTTTACATTGCAATATCTGGGCCTAAATAGAGCATTCTGTTGGCCTGTTATTTAGCACTGAAGAACACCTTTCAAGCCCTTCTCAGACATTTTTAATGAAATATGCCAGGAGCTGTTGCTTTTCATTTCTGGAAAATGCTACTTCTTAAATTTACATTTGATCCTTAAGCATATGTACCCTAAATTAGTATCAATGCTTTTTGCAATATTATTGCACTGTAAGTTCATGTCTAGCTCATATGCAATTATCTGTTTCAAATCAGTCAACCTCTAAACTTGCTTCTTGATTGGAAGAGATAGATTACATGTAATGTAATCTATTCCCCTAGCTTTGCCATTTCCCTTTACAGCTGATCTCATCCAACAACACATTGACTCTTTGGTACATTTGGGTGCTTTGCAGAATGTATTTGGCACTTGGTTTTTTTACCATAGGTTTTTTCAAGTTCTTCTTTCATCAGATGAAATAATTTCTCATAGTGTTTTCTCTTACACAATAAATAAATCATTAGTAGTTATGTTTGTTGTTTGCACTGTAACAATCTTTTGCAGAATTCAGTGCAAGTATTGGAATAAAATATTCAAATCATACACAACAGCTATATTTAGGAATCAGCCATATTAATAAAGATATTCTGACCTACTGTGAGAGTCACACTGATCATGACTCACATGTGACTTCTCTACATTACTAATAAAATTGTTATAAAGGACCCCAATACTTAACCTTCACAGTAATAACATATTGTTCTTCGCTAGTTAGCCAATGATTGTTATCTAATTAATTCCTGATATGCGTGTATCAGAAATGCAATACACCTTGAAATACTAATTTCTTTGTATAGCATTTTTTCATAGAAGGTTTTTACCAAAATATTTTAAAGTTACATAATCTACTTGCAAAACACATGAGGGAAAAATAAAGCACAAGAACAAAGAGTGAAAGAAACAGATACGAGCCCTGGAGAGAAATCACTCTTAAAATAAATGATGAGTCAGGTAAGTGAACATATATGAGACAGTGTGAAGCTATAGCAGATGATGTGACAGATGTAGGGTGAAGTGGCTCAGAGAACACCAGTATAATCAAAGCAGGACAATAACAGCAAAGCACAGACTCAAGATCGTTTTCCTGGGCAACATCAGGGCAGTAATTAAGTTGAAGCTTAATAAAGGCACCTTTTAACTCAGATCCTAAGTGATTCTTTAAACTTACTTGAATAGAAATGTATAGAACCATTTCCAGAAACAGATCACTTACAATATGACATAAGGACATGTATACGAAATATATCCATATGGTGATGAAAGAATCACGGAATCATAAAATGGATTAGGTTAGAAGGGACCTTAAAACAATTCAACAAAGGGTTTAAACCCTTTGTCTTGGCCAGGAACCCTCTCCACTAGATAAGGTTGCTCAAAGCAACCTAGCCTCGGACACTTCCGAGGGATGGGGCATTCATAACATTTTCAGGTAACCTGAAGCAGTGCCTCACCACCATCACTGTACAGAATTTCACCCTAGTATCTAATCTGAACCTACATTCTTTCATGAATTAATGAATATGAAGACATTATTCCTTATCCTGTCACTGCAATTCCTGATGAACAGTCCCTCTCTGGTTCCCCTGTAGGCCACTTTGAGATACTGAGAAGTTGTTATGAGGTCTCCACACAACCTTCTCTTCTCCAAGCTGAACAGACCCAACTTCCTCAGCTACCTTCATAGGAGTGGTGCTCCAGTCCTCTTATCAGCTTCCTGGCCTCCTCTGGGCTCACTCCAGCAGGTCCTTCCTGTGCAGGGACCCCAGAGCTGATGCAGCCCTGCAGGTGGGGTCTCAGCAGAGGCAGCCCAGGACTCGTTTGGCTCTCTGGGCTATGAGCACACACTATTGGTTAGCGTTGAATTTTTCATCTACCATCACCCCCAAGTCCTTCTCTGCAAGGCTGCTCTCAATCACTAATACAAAAATATACCAAAATGGAACTACTGTCTTTATAAGGTAAAATTTTAATACCAATTTACCATTTCCTGATGTTTCATCTCTTACTAGTCTCATAATCCTGTTTGCTAAGGATGGTTAATTCCTGGCTCACTGTTTCTTTTCATATGATCTTACAATAAAATTACTGCGTTTGATACTGCTAGAATGATTTCCAGCTCTTGTTATAATGTCTCTTTTTAGTCTCTCACATAAATGCCTTTTCAGAGGAAAACTTGTACTTTTAGCCTAAAGCCAGCAACAATTTTTGCAACAGGCAAGGTCAGGTATACTCAAAATACTCTTTAAACACTGCTCAAAGTAATTATATACTTTGTGCAAACAAGTTGACGTAAGAATGGGGAAAAATGAATAAACTCATTTTGATCTTTAGTGGTTTATTCTGTAGGTTAAAATTTGATTCATAGAGGTTCCAGTTCATACCATGCATTTCAAAGAATACCTGCCTAATGATTTTTATGCTGTGGCTGTGACCTGATGGGGCTTGCTTTCAACATATGCTAAGCAATAGAACAGAAAGGATCCTCTTTCAGTACTTTAGGATTGGAGCTATTTAATGCCTGAGTTTCCAGTTCTTTTAAAACTCTAAAGGCTGAAACCAGAGTGTATTTCACCCAGGCCTTTGGTCAGCCTTGTTCCAGAGGCAGGTGTGACAAGGAATGTGGCTATGTGCTGGCTGGTCAGTGCAGTGATGGACAGGCAAGAGCTCAGATGGAGCAAGGGAGGATATAATGAGAGAACATCAAATCCATCAGCCTCAGGTATCTGACATTACACACAGTAAGAAACAACCGCTGAAAAACAATAAAAGAACAATGTTTCTAAATAATTCCAAGAAAACAAAGAAATGTGTTTTTACAGCCTGTACTACACAAAAGCACTTTAACCCTTACTTTTTCAAGGCTTGTTTAAAAGCTGAACACAGACTCATCCCAGGCTGATGATACACAGACAGACAGCTTCAGCGGCATGCAAAAATTATGGGAAGACGCTGCTGTGAAAATGAGACCAGAACTGTCCAGGACATGTATCAGTGAAGGATGTTTGCTAACCTGAGATTACTCTGTGGACTCATAAAAACAATGTGGTTTGTTTCCTCATATAAAAGTAGCAATTTACAGCAGGTAGAAATTTTTATACAAATTCCTAGTCATCCCAACCCAGCACATTCAGGGCAGTCTAACTTACACATTCATCTGACACATTAGTGAATATAGCACAAGTTGCACATGTGAACTGCCCACTTGCTGGTAATTTTTCCTTTTTCTCTAAATTAAGATGATGCACTATAGCTCACCTGTAACTTCTGGGTCAGAGAATCCCTCTGTGCCTGGAGCTCTCTGGCATTTTCAATTTCTTGTTTCAATCCTTCTATTTCCTAAGGGAGAAGAAACAACCTTGCTAGCAATGTGTTACTTGGCTTGGCCTCAGTGCTTGTAATCTGGCTGGTGCTTCTTCTTCTGAGCAAGTCAGTGCAACAATATCAAAACTGGCAGTTGGCTACTACCCATCAGATAACATGAAGTGTAAGCCCTGCTCCCAATACTACTGAATCACAGTCCCAAAACAGCAACTCCATCGTGATTGAACAGCAATAGACACAAGCATTTTCTTTTATAAAAATCCAAGTTTTCTTTTCCCCCCAAAGAGATATGAAATCATTTTTGCCTGAAAAATTAAGGTCCCTTTTAATTAAAAAAAAAACAAATTTATATTTTAAATTCTATTAGTATCTACTGTTCTCCTTTTTTTCAAGAAAAAAGAATCCAATTTTCAAATGTAAACTGCTTATTATGTCACCAGCAGCAGGGCTGAACACCAAAACAACTGTCTGTTATGATCAATTTCTGTAAAAAGAGAATCTTAAAAGAAATGGCATATTTAACTTAGCAATTAGAATTAGGTATAAAAATAAGAAATATAGCTGAAATAACGAAGAGAAGAGAGAAACCTGGTCTTAGCTTACATTCAGGAGACAAGAATAGAAAGAGTTAATGAAACTAAATGGTATCAAACTTAAAACTATTAAGTACTCTTCTCCAGACAGACATATTCACCTCCCAGAACTCCTTTTGGCAAGATTTCTCTGCAGCCAACAGCTCAGCATAATTCTAAAGTGATTGACCAACAAAATGGGAAACATCACTAAGCTGAGCCTGATCTATTAAGTAAGAGGGAGTTTGGAAAAGACTTTGTTCCATTTTGAGAGGATATTCTGGGATGACTGTGCCTCTCCTGCATCCTCCTTGGAAACACCTCATGGCACTGTGGGAAGGCTCACTGCCCCTCCATGCACACATGCCAATGCCCATGATCTCTTACGTGGGGCAAATAATTCTTCCTGTGCAGCTACTTCCATCTCCTTTTTCCATCCAAAAACGGGTGATTCTTGATCCTTCCGTGACACAGATATGCTTTCTTTTGGGACCTATGCCAATGCAGGTGTTACTCCAATTCTTTTTTATTTACTTGCTGCTGGTCCAAGCCAAGACACATGGCACAATAAATACCAAGTTTCAGGCTGGGGGCTTGGCATGTGTTTAAGGAAATTGCTGATCTTATGGACCATGAAGGTCAGCTTTATCAACAGAGCCTGAAAGATAGACTGGCTGGACAAAGGCATTGATCTATTACTTGTTTCAAACCCTACTCTCCAGAAAAAAAGAAAGCATGCCTAACATAGCTTCCTCTCTAAGGCAATCTGGACTGCATCAGTGTGATGATTGCCCTGTGGAAAACACTTATGACTTACTTTTGCAAACAGAGATGTTTGGTGAAAGCAAATTGGAAAGCAAGATACTTTTTTTGTTGCTACCCAGATACCCAGCTCTATATTGGACTGACGTAATTATATAAATGAAAAATACTAACAATTTCAAAGAAGTTGAAAAAGAATTTACTTTGTAACATTTATATTAAATAATTCAGTATCTAGCAGCCATCACAAGCTTAATATTGAAAGGCTTTAGAAATGATGTAATAGAAAAGCCAAAAATAAATGTTGCAGGTACCTCTTCTTTTTTCTTCAGTGTAGACTCTAATTCCTGTATTGTCTGGTTTAATTCTGTTTTATGTGTGTGGACTGCATTGGCTTGACTGCTCACACACTCTAGCTCAGTCACCTGAAATAAGCAGAAGAAACACATACAGAATTAATTTCAACATATTCAAGGTACTATTACTTCTTTGCATAAATAGCTGCCTTTGAAATACACCCAAACTTCTGGATGACTCCTGTTAATTAAAATGGTGAAGGTGTTCTTGCAAAGTTAGCATAACATTCCATAATATATTGTTATGTAAGTGGTTGCTATGAATTCCTGGAAACAAACAAAAAAAAATGTTACAGGCTGAAAAGAACACTAATTAAAACTTATGCTAATTATTGAAAGTTTTAAGAAAGTTCTGAATTACCACTTGATGACTAAACACAGATCTGTCTGTCTAACTAACCTCTCCATCTGACACTTTTTCACGTTCTACCACCTTACAAAGCCATAATGTTCACACACTTCCTAGAAAGCCAATTAACATTTCACAGCATCACTTTCTGACTCGGCATCAACAGTGTAATAGCAGACACTCAGCCACCAAAGTACAGCTGCCAGCTTCTAACTTACTCTAGTAATGGAGCTCATCTCTTAGTCACAAAGGCAACAGCTAATGTCACAATTTGGATTTGCTCAGTACTCCTTTCATTAGCAGACAGCAAGCATGCTCCATCTGCCCTTGGATCAGCTAAGATACCTGGCAGTGGTATGCACTTTTGTTTTATTTTATAATCAAAAGGATGCTAATATTCTGTCACTCACAGATAAACTGTTTCAAAAAACTACTTATGTTTTGCTTCTGCAACAAAGAAACAAAATCCATGCAGCTAGAGTCTACACAGAAAAGTCGCTGTTCATGTGCCTCTCTCATTACAGGTTAGAATACTAGGGAACTCTCACACCACATGTCTGCCTGGATGTGTGCACTAAAACATTTTTGTTTAATAACTAAAATCTAATAACAATTATTTCTGCAGAAGTTATGAACCTGTCAATCCTAATATATTTTTTTCAACAGAGCTGCACCTGTACCTACAAATCGGGCCCAGAAACTCCTTTGAACAAAGTGTTAGTTAATTCTGCAACAAAAACCTTTAACACTCAATTTAACATTCTTGGAGAGGTAGCCATTAGACAGAGGGCAGACATTTTCCAAGACAATTTTATTTCTTAGGTAAAATAACATCTCAGGGAATCAAGGTTGTTGCTCTCCAGCACTAATGTCCCCAGGCTAACAAAGCCACTGTTACAGGAGTAATTTCAGACTCTGAACTACTTGTAGGCTCAAAAGGTAGATTACTGAGTCAAGTCCAAGGGAAGTCAAGATGAAATACAAGGAAATTAAAACAACTTCTTTCTGTATCACAGGCCACAAACCTTTGCAGCAGCCATGATGAATCTAGGTTCTTCTGCTGAAAAGCTAAAGACATTTTTGCACATGAGGTTTATAATGGAGAGAACTGAGATTAGAAGATATTCTTGGAAGGGGGTGAAAGGAATGAGGAAATAGGATAGCTGGTAATGCAACATGCCCTGTCCACCCCAAAGAACTTTCTCATTTGCTGGTATTTTCCCAAAAGGAATACCAGTGCTCATGACAAAAAGGAACAGTAATTCACTTAGTTATATGTGCCACTGAGCATTACAACTGATGTCTTAGATGATTTTCTCAATTCACATATATACCTGCATTTAGATTATCGTAATACTCAGTGTTCACCACCAAAATTACACAAGCAAGAATTGGAACACATTGATGAGGACAAACCTATGTCCGCACAGTGTCTGGCCTAGCATCTAGAGAGAGCAAGAATCAGAATGGCACAGAGAAATTTAGGCTGGAAAGGGACTAGTGGTCACCTGGTCAAGGCCTCCTGCTCAAAATAGGGCCAATTTTGAGGTCATATTTGCTTGCTCGGGGTCTTGCCCAGTCAAGAATCCTTCACTATCAAGCAAAACTGTGACAGTTCTGACATTGCAGGTTTATGAAGAGCTCTAGTTCCTTCCTAAGTTTTGCTGGAATTGTCAAAATCATTCAACCCTTTCACCTTCAGCCCTTTTGAAGTTTAACTTCTCAAACATTTCCAAGCTTTCCTGCTGAGATGTTGAATATTAACTTCCAAGAAGACAATCTCTCTTTTAAAGCTGTTGCACTCAGCAAGACTCATGGCCCTTACCAATCCATATCACAGAATGCTCATTCACACAAAACCTCAGCTGGAGACAAAAGTAAGCCCAGTCCCCAAACTACCTCTGTCATAGAACCTCATGCCTTGAAGCAAGCCTGCAGAGGTCTCTCATCCTGTGACTAAGGAAGCACATGGACTCCCACTGTTCTCCATATGATTTCCTCTTGGGTGGTATTTCCTCTTGGATAGAGAGGATGTAATTATTGGTGGAACCTCAGAATCAAACTGTTGGATTAAATGTTACTGTTCTAGTTGCATCTATATTGCTGGTTAAAAACATCTCCTGCAGCAGCCCTGCCAGGTGCACAGCTCACGTGAATACTCCCAAGTACACTCTGGTCCACACTAACTCAACACACTTCTTGAAATTGCTTAAGCAAACACAGAAGATTATTCTTAAACAGAACAGGCTGTGCTCCCATAAACCTTCCCAACAGAGGCAACTGCGCTCAGAAGGACAATTAATTACCAGCATTGAAAGGGCTGTGATGTCTTACTCTAGTCCAGCTTTTCTCTGGGCAAACCTCCATCTCTTACTGATTATGCAAGAAAATAATGTTCAACTGTTTTGTTTGCTGTGATTGAAAATGAAGTAAGTTGGGAAGAAAAAGAAAAAACTCAATTAAAAAACTGAGTTAATTTAATCAGTTTTATTTAAATGCTGATTCCTACAGAGATCTGAAAAGATGTCAAATATCTTCATGTTTTTATCTTCTTGAATGTACCTATAAAGAAGAAAAACATATTGTGACCCTTTCAAAAAGAAAAGAGTAAGATGGACTGGAAAATTATGTGATATAAAGAATATGCAATTGAAAACAGAAATAACAAAAGATAAAGCTCTAGGCAAAAATCTGGATAGCATTTACTTGTTCTGCTTCTTGTTTCAAATTGCACTTAATTTTCTCATGACCAGTGGTCCAAAAATCATTACAAGTAACTGGTTATGCATTATGCACAGGAGGGGGCATAAAAGGAAGTTAAAGTGCTTTAGCCTGACCCTCCCACAGGCTATTATGAGGGACACCTCCTTTTTCAGTGTTTCAGGTTTAAAAGCAAGGCTCAATCAATCCTTCAAATCCTTGCACAGCAGTATCTAGCAATGTACCTGTGATTACACCTCATTTTGAATACAGAATTCAGACTGAAAAACAGTCTTTGAACAGTAACTGCCTAAACAAAGTCCTGCTATTGTGTTACCATAAGACTGCACTGACTTGCATATCTGGAAATGTCGATAGCTCTGGCTTCGTGTTTGAGACTGAAAAACAGAAAAGGTACTGTTCTTAGACTCTGTTTCTTTACTTTGTATTTATCATCCAGGTAAGGATTGCATGTAAGGAAAATATTCTGAAAAGGCTTTTTAGTGACTATTTAGTGTGCAAACTCTTCTAGCCTGTGGATGGCATTACACTTTACTGCCTACTTCAGAGTAAAATGCATCCACTGAAGTAGGACAGCAAGGCAACTTCTTGTGGTATAGAGCCTAGACCCTCCTTACAGAGGCCATTCTAGAGCTTTCTGGAAATTTTCGTCTAGGTCCAACAACCTATAAATGCAGTTGGATTCCAGGAAGAGGTTTTCATTGCAGCAGAGAACTAGCACACTAGGCTGCTGGGAAGACTGGAGGAGTGAGGCTTCAAGCCACATAACACAACAAGGAGCAACAACTTTGGTGTGAGCTTAAGACAGTGGCTGCCCAAAGCTTCTGAAACTGAAAAGCAAAACTGAAAAGACTCTCAAGAAAATCCTGATGACAGAAAATTACTTTGCAAGCAGAGACTTCAGGTAGACAGAAGCAAAGTAGTGGGAATGACACAAATATTTTGAATGGTGACCTGCCCCAAGCAATTATTGACTAAATGATTCTGTGCTGTGTTTGCTCCAGCTGTATTCGTTTTTTCAAACCACTTTCTTGAGATGAATTGTACAATTCAGTACCAACAGACAATGAAATTCCTTTTTAACTACATACAGAAATTATTCCAACTCCTACAGAAAGGCAAGACAGATTAGAACACAGAATCTAACACAGAACACATCTAAAACACAGAATCCATTGCACAATTCTAGAATAATTCAGGTTGGAGAAGACCCTTAAGATCATTGAGTCTAACAGCTAACCCAGCACTGCTAACTGGACCACTAAGCCATGTCCCCAAGAACCACATCTACATGCCTCTCAAACACCTCCAAATATGGTGACTACATTACTTCCCTGGACAGCCTATTCCAATGCTTGACAACCCCTTCTGTGAAGGAAGTTTTCCTGCTAACTAAACTAAAACTTGCACAACTCAAGGCCATTTCCTCTGGTTCTCTTGCCTGTTATTTGGAAAGAGACCAACCCCCACCTATAGCCTCCTTTCAGGCAGTTGTAGAGAATGATAAAGTACCCTCCGAATCTCCTCTTCTGCAGGCTAAACACCTCCAGCTGCCTCAGTTGCTCCTCACAGGCCTTGTGCTCCAGACCTTTCACCAGCTCCTTTTTCCTTCTCTGGACTCATTCCAGCACCAAAATGAGCTTCTGTCACGAGGGATCCAGAGCTGGACACAGCATTTGAGGTGTGGCCTCACCAGTGCCCAGGACAGGGGGACAATCCCTGCCCTGCTCCTGCTGGCCACACTATTGCTGAGCCAGGCCAGGATGCCATTGGCCTTCTTGGCCACCTGGGCACAGCCTGGCTCATGTTCAGCTGCTGCCACCAGCACCCCCAGGTCCTTTCCAGACACTCTGCCCCAGCCTGTGGCACTGCCTGGGGTTGTTGTGACCCAAGGGCAGGACCCAGCTCTGGGCCTGGTTGAACCTCACACCATTGGCCTCAGCCCATGATCCAGCCTGTCCAGATCCCTCTGCAGAGCCTTCCTGCCCTCCAGCAGATC